ATTTCGAGGGCAGCGGCAACGCGAGCTGCTGTCCTGGGGTTATCGCCAGTGCACATAAACACTTTGAAGCCCATGCACTGGCGCAAGTAGTCCACTGCAACTTTCGTTTCCCGCTCAACTTCGTCCTGAAGAGCGACGGAGCCCAGCCACACCCACTCCAGCTGCGCATCCCGCGAGGCAGCAGAAGAAACAGAAGCGTGTAAGTTGACCACGGGGCCGTTGTGACTCTCGTGCCAAGATGTCCACTCCTGTGGTAAAAGTGTCACAGAGCAGCATAGCAGCACAACCAAATAGCCCTCTGCGATTTCGTACTTGTAGTTAGGCTCTGGGAGGAAGTTAACATATGCACATGCCTGTGGAAAGCGGTGCTTTCTTAATGGTCTAAACGCTGCGCAATAGAGCAATAGTGGGTGTCCAGCTCCAAAGGGAAGGCATTGATGAGACGCACCTCAAGCTGAAAGACGTCCGAACTGCTTATTCCCTTTGTCTGACACTGCTGGGACCGCCGACCGTCAGACTCGCCTACGCCGGAGAAGAGCACAACGTCAACACAAATGAAGTCCCGGGAAGCTCGTGTGACCAGTAAAGCTCCCTATAATGACTCCTAAGGAAACTTTGAGTGCTCTGAAAATCATGTCCTCACTGTCTTCCGGGGAAGCTGCGGCCACCCGCAAACGCAGGTAGAGTCCTTCAGTAATCGGCATGGAGCCTTCGATGCCCCTCTGTAGCATGAGCACATTTTCGCAAGGCCGCGGAGGCGGGAACTGCCTATTTAGTTCTTCCGGTTCCTCGACAATGTTTTTAACTGTGCGAATTCCTTCTGCTTCTCCACTGTTGTACCGCCGCCGCCACCTATCGTAGGCGCCCACCAAGGCCAACCCCACCGCATGGCTACTCCCTTGCTCCAGACAGCTCAAGGCCCACAAAACGCAGCCCGCTTCAAGCTCACCTGCTGTTGAATCCAGAATCTGGTAATTGGCATGCGTGCCTGGGCTGCTTTCCATGCCAGCCAACTCCTGCTGCTGTTTTCTTAAGAGATCCGCGCAGCAGTTCCCGCTGCCGTCACCAGAGCATGCTGTGCTGGAGCTTCTGCCGGTGCACTCTTCTGAGCGTTTTGAGGGTAATGCCCACAAGTGGCTGAATCTGAAAAATGCAAGGCCCCCCTCGCAAGACATTGCAGCTGCGCTGCTGGTACACTCCTGTCTCCCTGTTTGACTTCCGCTTTCGCTGTAGTTAGGCAGGGTCTGGCAAGCGGGTAACAGCTTGAGTTCTGAATCCCCTGCTGCATATATTGAAGAGGTCGGCGCTTCCTCGGCAGTAATATCTGAGGTCATGGATCCATGGAGGGTGTCCGATGGGGACATGTTTTCTGTGCACCTCGTGTTATTGCTGATGCTGCTGCCGCAGCACGAGGGGCGCTTCGGTAATTCAGTAGAGACCGCACCGCACCCAGTATAGTCGGAAGCCTCACTTTCAAGCTTATTGCGGTGCAACGGTGTGGGGGAAATTCCCATTTGTTTCATAGCAGGAAGCAGAAACTCCCGTAGCCGCTGGGAGTGAAAAACGCACGCAGCAACCTGCAATACAGACACAGAACTACAAGTGGCGTCGCCTCACTAAAATATTCCACAACAAGGTATAGAATGCCGCCTTTCCAAACGCTGTATTGCCCTGCATGCTGCCAGGAGAGTTTGACATGTAAAATATTGGCTGTAGAGCCAGGAGAATATTTTTTGTGTATGCGAGCTAGCCTTCCCCTCTCTCTTCTCTTGTTTGTTTTATTAAGTTTTGCGGCTTCGGTGGTTCGGCTCATTCGCAGGTGGTGTTCACAGGTGGTTTCACAAGGCGCACACGCAGTTCACCGGTGGTCAGGGTTCCCGTCTTGTCAACGACGAGGAGGCTCGTTTTCGCTGCTGTTTCCAGTGATTTCCCAGTCTTAAAAAACACACCTCGTGCTGCAGCAGCGGCAGTTGCCGCAGCCACAGCTGCAGGAGCAGCGAGCCCAATGGCACAAGGACAAGCGGCGCAGCATACAGCTACTCCAAATCGCAAAGCAAACAGCAAGCTGTCCCACGTCACTACCCACCCCGAGAGACGGCAAGCAGCAGCAGCAGCTGCTGCTGCTGCATGATCATCCACTGAAGTGGCGTCCACGATTGAGACGGACGGTGGCGGGAGACTGCCCGAAGCCCTCAAAAAGTTGCCGTAAGATTCAATGTGCTGCTGACGCTGCTGCTCCAGGTGCAGCCTCTGCAGCATCAGGCTCCGCTGTCTGGATGCTATGCCCTCGCTCTGTTCTAGCTCAATTAGGCGTTGCTTCATCTGCTGGAGAGGAGATAGAGGAAGCGTGTCCGCTGCACCAAACACTTTGACTGTCCAAGAAATGACGGCGACAGTAGTTATACACAGCACGACGGGAATAAAGTAAGCAGCGAATGTCTCTGCCGCTTTCTGAAGGGGCGGTTGCTGCTGCTGGCCGGTGTTTACCAAGCGCAGCAGCGTTTGCAGCACTGACGCATCCCCGATCTGCCTCCGCAGCAGCAGCCACAGGTCACAGACACTCGAATTTTTATTAGGCACTCGGCGGCGTTTTCCATTTTGTTAGCATTCCCCACTGCGCACCTTCTGCAGCTTTTTCAGCAATGTATTTCCTCCCACTGCTTGGGAAGCACCCTCTACTATGGAGTTTTTGTGCAGACACTCTTTCTTCTTTCTGGTTCCCGTTCCGATTGCTCACCACCTCTACTTTGATGTAGGCGTCGGCATGAGAAGCATTTCTGCTGCCTCCGATGACCCGCTGACCAGCCAGCTTTGCCACACCTCGTCCTTCTCCTGAAACGAGTCTCTCGTCGACATGCAACACGTCAGGTGCCTAAAAGAGCGAACAAGGAAGCAAAGGGATGCAGCAACTGCATTCCATAGTTGCTTTCTCTGGCTGTTAAGAAGATGGGTTTGCAGGGCTACAGGGGAATGATTAGGCCCCGCGCGCGGCCCTGTATCTCTTGTAGCACGAGAATATCTGTATAAGCAAACATAATGAACCTAATAGAGTGCTTGAAAAGAACAAAAGGAATGCACTTGCCAGTAAAATGCCATCGGCCGGCAACACTTCGTGAGGAGGGACTCGCACAACGTCCCCCATCTGCAGCAAGTCCGTATTGATCATGACTTCATCCGGAAAGCCTTCTGCACCCTCGTTTTCGGAACCATTTGTTGCTTCCCCAGTTTCCTCTGTCTGGAGGCCGCGCGGCTTGCTCTCAGAAGTCAGCTCAACCTCGTCATCAAAGCTCAAGGGACCTGCCTGTGTAAGAGGGTTATACTTGTGGACGGGATGCTGGAAGGTAAGGAGAAAAGCAAGTCTCTGCCACCAACTTAGAGACGGGGGTTGTTGCATGACATCACTGTTGCAATCCGTAGACAGTTGTGACAATTTCACAATGTCACTGGGGCCGGCGCTATCCTCTCCTTCTATGCATGAAGCCCACTGATCCACTTTCAATAAATAGCTGGCAACTGCACTGTCTTTTGACCGAAGCACCAGGTGCACACTCGGAGTTTTCAGGCTGTGGAGGCTGCACAATCAGACGCACGATAAGTAGCACAAGAAGCGGGTCCTACTTGGCGAGACTGCCTTTCCCCGGAGAGTGCGAGCCCTGCAGCCTATGGATAGGACGGCTGAACCCACCTGTGCAACTGTTTCAGTATCCGCGCCTTGGCTCTGAGCTGCAGCACCTGCCGCAAAACAGCCACTGCACATTAAAAAAGCTTTTTTCTTTCCCCTGACTGCAGCGCCATCGTTCGACGACTTTGACAAACGGCAACTTCATAGGTTGGCCGTTTTGCGTAGCATTCATTGCTTTCCGGCGCTACGAAGCTCTTCGACATGAAATCTGCAGTCCAAAAGAACCTTACGAAATCACACCCGAGTGCTTTTTCTGACCTTTCCGAATAGAACGACGCACACAAGCATTGCGCATGTGTCCAAGAAGACCTGGGGCTCGGCCTCCTCTAAGATCTCATAGAAGGGGCTTTTTGCGAAGTCTGCACTGCTGTTGGGTACGTGGTTTGCTGCAGCAGCAACATCCCCTGCTGGCAGAAGCTGCTGACATCCTACGATTGTTGCTGCTAACTGTATGCATGAAAGGACGGAATAAAAATATGCCATGTTGCTTCCAAGAGATACAAGGAGATCCATGCTGAAATGTCCATGGCGTAAACCCTGCAACAAAAATGCGGACTCGCATCATCGACGCCTGCAAAGCTTGACCCTAAACAGAATATCGAAGGGCGTGAATTCGCACTCCCAAAAGCCAAATACCCTTCGCACAGAGGTTGCTACATGTTGCTTTCTCTATGAAGGTATGGGTCACATTGAGAGCCCTATGCCTACAGCGGATTCAGAGCCCTACTTTGTTGCAAAAAGAATTATTGCAGAAAGTTCATGCCAACTTTGTGAGTTTGGCTAAAGCCGCTGTTGTAGGACATGTGTGTCCTTACCTTCAAGGCTGATAGATGGAAGGTACGGCCACCATAAAATTGGACCGGCGTACAGAGCAGCAGCAGCAAGAATGTCGAGACACGTATTCCGGGAACAAATTCGCTCCTTTAAACAGCAGAAGGTGGCACAAAAATGTTGCGTGGAGCTGGCCAATCGGCTTCGAGTCAGTATTAATGAAGAACTGAAGACCTAGAAGCTTTTTTCTTCAGTGCAACGTCCTACTTCTGGCAGTGCTGGTCAGCTCTCAAAACATTTTGCTTTTATCTCGCTTTGGATTAGCCTGTCACTAGTCACTAGTATGTGTAATGGCTGTGGTGGCTCTTACGATAGAGGCGCTGGCAGACTGTGGGTTCTGGCCATGATGGACAAGCAGACCACAGCGAGAGCAGGGAACAACGACAGTAAAAGAGAGCTAAGGAGAGTCTTCTGGTTTTCCAGCACGGCATCTTTCTGAATCAGAAGTCTCACAACACTATTTCAAATTGCATGTGTCAAGTACCCTTTACTGAGGGCCCCATATCATGCTGAAGACAAGGCGGCATAGATTGTGAACGATCCTTGCCTGCGTTTCGAGGGGGTCCTCGGCCAGCAAAGAAGGATTAAAGCCTCGACGCATCAACTTGATGAAAAGATCACGAACTCCCACTACGTTGGGCTTGTAGGTTACTATCAGCTGCTTTGCACCATTCACATTGAAGCCATTTATGGGGGTCACAGCGCAACTTAACACTCCGTTGATGCTCTCCAAAGAACTGCAGGCAGACTCGGCCGACAATCCTTCACTTTCATGTATAGCGAGGCGAATGGTTGCCTTGGACTTGTTTACAAGATCCGAATAGTCATAGTTGCCAGCCGTTGTCTTTTGGAACGCCAGTGGTAACGCAGCAGTCTGCCTATCCTCAGGGTCTGCTGAAATAGCTTGCTGTGGAGGCAGGGGGCCTCCCAGCTCACTTTTCTGGACCCCAATTGACGGATCTGTCCAGTCCGCTGTTGTTCTGCTGTCATCGCTGGATGGGTCGCTTGGCGCAAATATTTGAAGGATTTCAGCCTCGAAGCCCAGGCTCTGGATGACCCCACAGAGTTCCTCTGGGGCTATGATGTCGCTGTGGTACGCAACCCTTGCTGTTTCTCTTAATATGTCCACATTTGCCCGCAGGACACCGGGCTTTTTTGTTAGCGCGCCATGAACTGCTCCTGTGCAAGCGGTACACGTCATGCCGCCGACCAGTAGCTCACACACCGACACGGGCGACATCTTTGCATTTACCAAAAGGCAAAAATTGCGTTTGGTTTAAAATAATGCTGGTAGTGTTGCAGCTCGCTCTACAGGTCTGCAAGCAACGAAGGACAATAGGCAGCGGCAGGGAACAGCCAGAGTTAGCAGAACAAACAGCACAGAAAGGAGCGAATCGACTCCAGATAACCGGCTCGCAGGAACATGTTGTTTCGAATTTATTTTTTAACGCAAATTAAATGATATGTATTGGCATCAGGATTGGTTAGACAGGGATAGGTTTTGCAGGTGACCGAACCAGTAATGGGTGACCCTGGCCAATACCAGAGCGGACGAGCACGAGCGACGAGCTGCGCCAATTTATCCTCAGATTTTCTAGGATTATATCTCAAGTTCCTTTTCAAAAGCATACCGATGGGCAAAGATCTTGTTTGATGATGCTGGTGAGGCTGTATTGATGTATCCAGGCTATCCTGCGTGGTTGACCACCACCCACAGCCTACCGCGTCTAGCGCACTAAAGCTCCTTAATTTCTGTGGGCAGTTTAAATGAAAAACTCTCCCATTCTTTATTATTAGTTTGATATTCGCGACACGAGCTGGCAACAACCCAGTGTTTCCGTAATGACTGTCTTGTACTGTGGGCAGCTTGTAGGGCAGACGGTCGGAATCCATATGTTGCGTTATGAGGATGCCCTGTTAATTTCACTAGTCACACTGTTGTATTTAAGCCTGTTCAACGAGATAGCCATGGGCAAGTATGGCCAGCTGAGTGCATCTGCTGAGCTGGATCGCAGCTGCACTTAGCAGGAGCTCACAAAATGGTTGGGTTGCTTTGATAGTCGATAAAATAGTCTACAATCTAGCTGCCACTTACAGACGCTTCACATCCACAAGCAGCACTCTTTCGGAAAGATCTATGCAGAAACATAGTTGAAGCTCAACATTATACTACAGGAGTGAGCGTTTGTCTATAGACGCTAGCAGCATCTCACTCGGCAGTGCTCTGTAATGTGCTAGGTCAGCTTCATCTGTTATCAACATAAGTCTATTACTACATTTTCCTGTGGTTCTGAGCTCTATCCAGACCTGTGGCTCCACTGTGAAGACCCAGGAACGGAACACTGGGGACTCTTAGGCTACGAACATGGTATGTCTATTCAGCGTTGCCGCCATGCTGTGCAAACCGTCCCACTAATCGTATGATGCATTTATGAGTGCTTAACACTGGATACAGCCGTATATTTCCACAGTGATGACCACGCCCCCCGTATGGTCTATTTCTTAGAACAATGAGTTATCCTGGCTGTTGTGTGCAGACTTCAAACCGATCAAAGTTCCAGCAACTGGGGAGGAGGAAAGCGCGCTTTCTTTGGTAGATACACTCAGCTTTTGAGCCGTAGAGCGCGCTCGTCATGTGCTTAGACTCATCTGTTCCACCATAAGGGAAGGAAAACGCGTTGTCGTTGGCAGATACACTCAGCTTTTTATAGAACAATTGCTTTTCATATGTTTATACTCGTGTGTCGTTCACACCTTGCCTTTGTTGCGTTGGTCTCCTAGAAGGTGAGGGGCAAGAATTACCATTTCGCTCATTGGGCTTCCTATAGCTCGTATTTGCTACAATTCTCCATCCGACGCTTTGAGCATGAAAATAATGGAAAATGCTTACAAAACGCTTCACAGTTTGGCAATCAATGCACTGAGTTGCAGCTGTTGTGAGCTTTGAATCCATTTGCTTTCCCAGCCCGGACAGAAAGGGCTTGCTTTCTGGGAACAAGACTGTTCCAACAGGCGTCAAGTGAGTTTATGTGTATTTACTCTAGAACAAACCTAGTGGCTTGGCGTTCAGTGCTATGGTGCAACTTTCGCCAGGAGTAACTGGAGTCACGCAAAAGTATATGGGCCGGTTATCAATGTGCTCATGAAAGAGCACCTTTTGAAGAAAGCGCTTCCCCAGTCAAATACGCAGTCATTGTGCTTTTGAGTTTAAACTCTCTAGTATCAAAGCAGGTTAGAAATATGGTGACTTGGCACCCTGTATGTTGCTCGGGGCTTACCAGCTGAGGCGGTCCAGGCGGTCTCTGACTGGCGGTTAGTCCTGCCTGTCCATAGGGCCAGTCAATAAGCAAACTGAATCATTGCGGCACCCGTGTTAATGTGCTTTATTGTTGCTTTGGGACTACGAAAGGTTCAATTGGACGCTCTTTTTTATCCTGAAAGCACATGGCCGAGATGTACAGGATCTGCCGGTCGCCTAGAGAGCATTATCGACTGCGAAGAGAAGTGCAGGGATAGCTTTGTCCAATTTTTTTAAATAGCTTTTAAGGGTAAAAGCATTCAACGTATCCGAAGGTGATCTTCCTGCTCTCTGCTGAGTAGCCGTGAGAGCAGATCTCAATGGTTACCTGTTACGGCCAGGCAATCAGTGATCTACGCTTGTCTGGATCCTTTCCGCGTAGGCTAGCAGTTGGCACTCTGGTGATCCCGCCTGATGGCCCCAACAGGAACATTTTAAAGTGGGGTCTAACTGTCTGACAGGCGTGGCATTTTGCTGTGGAGATTTCTACAGTGTTTTCATCGCCCACGGTGAAAGGATATGGTAATCCAGGTTTCCCTCTGCATACCAAAATATGCCCTGTAAGCATCCGAGCCTACCGGTGATCGTGCATTTCCTTCTCACTTGCTCTAGCTTCGTGTTGTCCATCCAATTGTCACTGGCCGCCGCTGCTCCTCCTGATCACTCTACTTTGGCCAGTAGAATGGAGAAACCACGTCAGCTTGGGAGTATCTACTTTAATGCTGGGATTCCACTAATTGGTGAGCATAGTTCCCACTGGGGAATAAATGCTGCTGGACACAGCTATGCTTTAGATGCAGCTTTTTACGGAGCTAGCCCAGGTAGGAGGCTCTCAAGTGTTTATCAAGCAGGAAGTGGCCATATGGTGCTGCATTCCTATGATGGGGAACAAAATAAGACATCTACACTGCAAGTAGACGAAATCTGCTACTCGCGTGGCATCGATGGGATTGTGAACCCCTACACAGGAGAGGTAAGCCGTTCTCCGTGCACCATCGCGTCAACAATCACATTTTTTGCTTTTATCTTGCCCCTTCCCGTTTCATACGTATAGCGGCAGTTGAAGACGAGCAGTCTCACCATCCTTTGTTCACAAGTTCTTGCACTGTCAATAAGGATTTCCCATGCCGTACCCTATACATGGTTTGCATTCGATGAAATTTTGTTAAGGATGATAAACTGGCACGCAAGAAGATTGCCTAGAGCACTTGCGCTGCACGCCGTGCTACCTTTGCTCTGTTGACCGCGCGACGCTCAGTTTTTAGACAATGGTCGTTCGACTGAGGAAATCTGGGAAGAAATGAAGACGAAAAGCCTTGCGCCTGGACGTGCGAAGGCACTGGAAAGCTTTTCGGCAATGGTTGAAGACGGTCAATTCGACATGTCCATTGTTCGCGATAACTTCCCCGTCGCTGCAGCAATTTATATTGTCTTTGGCGTGCTGATCTTGCTGTTTTTGCTGTTCTGTTTGGGACCATTGGCATGCTGTTCTTGCTGTCGGCGTTGCTGCTGCTGCGTTCGCCGAAGATCACACAAGACGCGGAGTCGAACTATGTGGTACATCATATTTGGCACATGCTTTGCACTTATTGCTGTTGGGATGGCAATTGCAGGATATCGAGTCGACAAGAAAGTCCTGGACGAAACCACAGCCGTTGTTTGTGCTGGAGGCCGGTCTGTGGATGAGCTGCTTTACGGGACTCGCATCGAGGGCACTGACACAGAGCGACAAAGCAGACAGACATTCGGGGGAATAAAGAATATTATGGATGGAACGGAAAGGCTGTTGGACGCTGCCGATGGGGATAATCCAGACAATTTTGTTAGCTACGTAAAGCGGAAAATTCTTGCAACTGTAGATATAACTGCTGACAGGGCACAGTTTGGAAATGCAGCAGACGCCTCGCTGAAAAATATTGAGGAAACTAAGAAGCTTGTTGACAAGGCCTCTCACAGGAACATTTTTGTTGATGAGAAATCTGCAACTATTACTCCACTCCTAGCAAACATTAAGACACAACTACAAAATGTAGACATTGCGACTGATATATCTGACGCTTTTGAAAGCATATCGCTCCCTTCAGTGGATCGCAGCGGCTTAGCTGAAGGAGAAAAGGTGATAGAGATGATGTCGGACATGACGAATTCCGTTGGAGATGCATCACACTGGGCTGAATATGGCATACACGTTTTGGACGCAGTGTTCCTGAGCATAAGCGTGGTTTCCGGCGGGCTGGCAATTCTGGCTGTGATTTTCCTCGTTTGGACGCTCTACAGGCCAAATAAGTGCCTTAGAAGGGGTTTAGTCTTCATGAGTGTTGTACTGACACTTCTGGCCGCGCTGACCTGTATAGTCGTTGCGGTGGCGTCAGTTTTGCACAAAGTTGGGATTCCGGTGTGCGATTACGCTACAGTACGCTTCATGGATGTAAATAGCTCGCACATTCTTGCTAAACTGCATGGTGAGGACAGTGAAATTTTCGAAGTGGCCAAAATATGCCTATCGGCAACTGGTAGTGGAGAGCTCCTCCAGAACGAGGACGGTTCGAACCAAATAGACAAACTTGTGGAAACATTGGAATCTAAAAGGAAGGAAATATGCGATGCGATTCCGGAGCCGGAAGACAGGGACTTCAATTTTCTCGGTATAGAGGCTTTTCCAAGCGATAACCAAAAGATCAATACTTCGTGGCTTTGCAGAGCAGCCGTATGATGTTCGAAGAAAACAGGTCCTTTTTTTCATTATATCCTCTTGTTGCGCTCCTGTCGTGGTGTTTATCAGATTTTCAAAATCTTGATGAGGATGCAAGGCACCAGAGTTGGGCAGTATTGTCGAAGGAGACTCAAGTCCAAACTTTCAAAGAAATTATCCAGGTAAGATATCTATACATAAAAATCCAAGGTAAAAAAGAGTGAGGTTGCGGCACCTTCAGTGGCCTTAGCTGTTTCACAGTTTGGCTTATTTAATAGAAACGAAAAAAGCGGCAGCAGGAAGCGAGCGAAGATCGCCTTTGCGTACTTTTGAACCGAACGTTTTTGCTTCTGCAGAGCGGTATCCAAGATCTAGATTCCACAGTGACAATATCCAACTCAAAGACCAAAATATATGGTATGGAAAGTGCTAGAAGCGCAATCAGGCCTTGGAGAATCAGCATCAGCAACGCATCAAACCCGGGGAGCTTGATTATCACGAGCGAGGCGCCCACTGAGGAACAACTTAACCACTGGGCTACAGAGTGCAACACAGCTAAGGTGAGCCATTTCTATACAGTCTCTTCCGGGGACGCTGAGGCTTCATGCATTTGCCCTTTTGCCTGTTTTCTCACAATTGAGCTATTCCTGACGGCTTCCGGTGAATAGGCCCTCCTTTTAGCCTTGTGTTTTCCGGCCAGGGTCAAGTGGAATGCGACAAGGTAAAAGCAGGCGTGCCGATACTGAAAAAAAGAATTTCCCTGCTAACTTCCCCCGCCCAGTGCTACTCTAGCTCAAGTGGATCTGTTGGGAGACCCTGCTCAGTTAAAGAGCTTATGGGAGGTTCGGGTGAATCCACTGTCCCGCAAAATGCTCTTGACCGATCAGTTACCGCTGCTGCTGACTCAGGTGAGCTTTCAGGACTCTTTAGGATCTTAAGAGCAGAACTATAGGCCTAAATTGAAATTAAGGGGAGGAGAGAGTACATTTTTCAGACGAACTTTATTGCTGGCTGATTGTTTTGCCTTCCGATTCTAGTGAAGCGCCTGAGAGTCAAGATTGAAACCAGCAAGGAAGCAGCATGTGAGTTTTTTCTCTCCCTCCCTTTCTCTCGGCAACCTATTGTTTCATGTTCAGAGAGTAAATGCCATTGATTTAAGATGGCCTTGGTACTAGTGTAGCACTTTTTCTTGGAGTGTGATGTTAAAAACAGGCGCTGTGGCGGACGAAAGCATTACCACCGTACAAAACGAAGTGCTCAAGCTTAAACAGGGCAGCAACTGCAAATTCACAAGGGACCGGATGATCCGACTGACTAATCACTTGTGTTACAATGCTATAGATAGCCTGAGTACAGTAAGTTTGACTTCTCTTTCCTGCTTTTCACTCATTGTGCTCATTTGGCTATGCACATGAGAAGAGAGCTGCATCCATTGTAACTGTGGCGTGGGCGTCACCTCGCAACCGTGCTTCTCCCTAGACGCTGGTGTCAGCTTGTTCTTGGGAATGAGTATCATGCTTTGTTCAGGTGACTGCGCTATACTTTGTACTAGCCATTGCGATGATGCTGCTGGTAACGGTGCTTCTTATCCTTATTGTTGAGTTACGTGATAATGATAAGTACGGATCCACACAGCGTGCTTCCGCAGAAGACCACTCAGTAGAAAAAGCGGATCCAGATGTTGAGGCCCCCGTCGTGGCCAATCCAGAAGAAACAAGAGAAGCAGAGGGTAAAAAACAACGCCACACACCCTTCCAAATCGTTGTGATGTGCTAGAGGCGCACGCTTCACAGGGCAGTTCAAAGTCATGCATATTCACCGTGCGGTGTGCAGTGGAAGGTGCCAAGTATGGCTTGGTTACATTGGCTGTTTATGCAGCTGAACAGGTTTAATATTGCAATTCGATCTGTTGTGGTGCGTTTCTGTGCAGTTGATGGCGCCGTTGGTCCGGACAATCCGGACACTGTTCATGAAGTCCCTCCAGCAGCCTCGGAAGATCCGGAAGCAGTGCCGCATAGCCCGGAGAGTGCTTCAAAGGAAGATTTGAAGGCAACTGAGGAGGGCCCGTAGCTTGGAGGGCTAATGAAGTTGCACGTGGGAAGCCTTTGTTCTTGTGCCCAAAGTGTTGGTTATTTAAGATGCTTCCTGTTTTAATGCATTTGACAATAATGGCCCCTTTTTTATGTATTCACTTGCAAATTGGCCTGGATTATACGTGGGGAAACTGCACCCATTTGTTCGTTGCTTTTGGCTGCCAGCGATAAAGTAAGCATCTCTGACTCTCCTCCTTCAGTTAGGCGCTGGATTCAGTGTGTGTAAGAAGAGCTGATCTGTATGTGCAAGAACCCACACAAACTTATAAGGAAAAGTCAGTAGAAAAGATGGAAGAGCCCGGCCTCTTCTTGGATCGGTTTGGAGAGCTACATGAATATTCCTTTTAAACAAGTCGCTCTACCTGTTTTTTTCTTACGAACACGTATTTGGAGAAGCTGATATGTGTCAATATTCTTTGAATTATTGTACGAGTTGCATGTGGAGGGACTTGTCATCCTTCTCGTGAAGCGGCTCATGAATATGACGCACATACTAACAGTACTTAAGTTTGTGCAGGCTAATCGAAAGTATTTTGGCTATGACCTGCAACAGAACTATGAGTTGCCCAGCTGCGCTGCCGTACACATCCAGTACATCCAGATATGCTGTGTTCTGAAGCTAGGGGCAAAGAAGAGGGCATTAAGACCCTGGCTCATGAGCCTCTCCGTGCAGAGTTAACAAGGAAGCGCTAGCGCTTGTAGCAGCCTTAGAAAAATGACACCACTTACCACGCGGTGAGAAAGCTGCAGCCTACGGAGACCGTCACGTCTCGACATATTTACAGTGCGTTAGTATTTACAGTGCGTAAGTGTCAGCTAATGCTTCCGTAATCTCTTCGCCTGATAGTTGGTTCTTTTAGCATCATATGCATACAAGCTGCATTCAGAAGGGTGATCGACTCTGGTGCAGCGAACCCCCCTCAGTTCGCTCTGCCACGAGTCGCAGTTGCAGATATACCGTCCCCTGCGCATCATGTGAAACCCAAAGAGTGCCCAAAATATACGGTATACTGGTGCACAGAGTGCATTAAAGAGCTTACTAGGATGGCACTGATCCTACGGGCTGCAGCAAAAAGCACGAATCCCTCTCCTGCACTTCGCAACTAGAGCTGTTACCCCTACCTCTGCTACCAAGAACCGTGGCACGCTTGACAGAGCATGGATGCCTTAGTCTTCGAGTGCATTCCCGGCTACTGCCAGGTGTAACACTGTCAAAACCTTAGCGTGCAGAAGCGCACTGAGCGCTGTACGTACAGCTACACCAGGACTCTACGGGTAACTTCACGATGCCAAGAACTAGTGCCTTCGCATTGCTATTCCAATGCGCAACCTAAATCTGGTGTAAGACCTGTTAACGAGCTCAAAACTAAAGCAGGAAACTTCTGCTTGCCCGTCTGCACTGCATTGAGTGGAGCAACACAATCCGTGTAGCGGGGCATTCCGTTTTATTCGCTCATTTAGTGTTGCTCAGAGCACATGGAAATTTGCTCCATGTGTTGGAAGTAGTAGATCTGTACTTCTAATGACGCGCAACACGTCGCCCCATCCACTGAGTGAACAGCCATGCTCCGCATCTGCCAGGATCCACCCCTACTCAAATGACTGGTCGTTCCTGCTTTTCTTCTGCTGGGAAGCTGGGCAAGTGTTTGCTCACATCATATGGTATTCTGGTGCACTCTAGTCCAGTCTCTTGAGACGACACAACTTAATGAAAGAAATCCGAGCCTTACGAACAGTACCACTTAACAACACTGAATCAAACTAAGTCATTCATACATTTGTTTCTGCATGTTGCTTTCGTGCCCTACTTCAACACATGCTTTAAGAGCAAATATTTCCACGTGCTCTCAGGAACAGTAAATGGGCGAATAAAGCGGAGCGGCCCGCTACACGGACTCCCTTGCACCAGGCAATATAGTGCTGACAGACCAACGAAGTAATGACCAGACGCAGTGGGTTGCTTTTCTTAGTCCTTCCAATGTCGATTGTGTGCTTGTCAAATAGCGGACAAATTGGCAAAAGGAACGCTGCAATAATCACAGAGATCTGGGAGCTGCACTGCATGCATGTCCTTGGCTGCCCGAGGCTGCATGTAGTTGCTGTGCTGTGCCTTAGCTCACTGAGTGTAGTTTACCTTTTCCCCCCTTCAATACTAATTTTAACTGAAAATTCCCTCATACGAGGGATTTTTGTGTGGATTAACTCTTGGATGATCCAACCATTGTCGACTGGGCCAGTGGATTACTTTACTGCGTGTCACGCACTCTGTGGCTTTCTCTACTGTTCTCGTCTAGCCGGAGCTTATATTTATACCTATATACTCACCATACATTGTGATTGAGATCTGCATATCATCTGGAGGGCATCACTCAATCAGGACGCAGAGTCGTGATTCCCGCACGATCCGCCTGGGCCACGGGGCACAACTGCTCGTTGCTTTACGATACTCGCCTTCCAGGCAGTGTGTGTCGAGGGTTCATAGAGGTCTGCCTTGATGTATAAACATATTTTTTTAGCTCCACTTGCTGTGGGGAACAAGGTGCCTCTCGCAAACGTCCCTGCGATTTACTGCTTCTTCAGTAACGCGTCAAACCGACTGTAGACTCCTTTATTGGAAAACGATTTTTTTAGCGCTGGGGGGTACTTAAACGCAGCGTGTTGTTGGGGGGACAGCGGCCCACTCCTTTACGATGGACGCTTCCGAGTTATTTTCCATCTCATCGAGGCAGCCAGCCCGAATGCCTCCAGATATTAAAGAGCTTCCTCCGATAACGCGAGGCCGAAGCAGCAACTTTCCTGACCGAGTTGGTAGCCCATCAGAAAGCCCTCACCAGTCTCGCCGGAAGTCGGCAGGTTGTTCTATGAGGCCAGTCAAGGAGGAACGGCAACAAGCTGAACCAGAGCATGCACCTGAAGGGTCGGCAAGCCACGCCAACTTGGATTTTGAAACCGAGGCAGCTACTGAACATAGGCCGCATTCACGACAGCCCCGTTCAGCGTCGTCCGCTCGACAGCGCACGGGTCGACACCGCGACGCACAGACGCCACACAGTGGCAGCAGCAGCAGGCGCTCAAGCTGCAATGCGTGGGTTTTTGCTACCAGTGTTTTGATGAAAACAAAATTGGTGCAACTAATTGCTTTTTATGCTTACTAGACGTGTCCGGCTGCCTTGATTTCAGGTCTTGTGGGCCGTTGCCAACGTGGGACGAATTTTTTGAGAAGTGCGAAGATATCAGACCTTTGGAGAGCAGCGACGTAAGACAGCTTCTTAGCACACTAATGTGCTCCCTTCACATGAGTTGCGTAGGTAGCATGAACTTGAAATACGCTTCGGCTTGACTGCAAGTCTTAGAACCTTTGGAAGGCTGGCGTTCGATGCCTGTAGAAACAACAGCTAGTCCTTTTAGGAACCTGCGACTGTCACATTTATCTGAGGGTGAGCCCGTTGCCCGTTGCGGCATGTGCGTCAACGCAGACATTTCGTGTCTATTCTAGTGGCTCGTCTGGACCTCTTCTTTTCCTTCTTCACGGAGCAGGTCATACGTCTTTGAGCTGGGCGTGCTTCACGGTAGGCGAATCAATGTCTCGGTGCACTTTCCCTCTGAAAAGACACCTTTGAAATTCATGAGTGCGATTGGGGTTTGCTTCCGCTGCGACGCTCTGCTGCTGGATTCAGCGTCTGCTTCGCGATGGTTCGCTCCCGCTCCGTGTATTCGCGTATGATGCAAGAGGACACGGCGCGACCGTGTGCGCTGATGAGAAGAATTTGTCAGCAGAGATCCTAACGGAAGATGGCATTGCAATCGTAAATTTTCTTTTCAATCGTTTGATTCGGGAGGAATTGCCACAGAGGACCGACATGCAGAAAGGACCAGTGCAGGATGGCACTGCTCGAGCAGAACCAAATGTCCATCGAGACCCGGATTCTTTGCCGTCTGTAATCCTTGTGGGCCACAGGTTCGCACAGCTCGCAGCCGCTAAAGCAACTTCAAGTGGCCATGGAGTGAGTTCTTTACGTAACTGTGACGATGTTGTTTCTGCTCTTTCCATGTACAGCATGGGTGGAGCCATTGCCACGAGAATGGCCGCGTCGGGCCGAGTCCCACACCTAGACGGTTTGATGGTTTTAGATGTTGTAGAAGGTACGCGCTTCTACCTGGCTGAAATGTGCTCGCCTTGTAGCGCTGAGCGTCCGGTTATTGCGCCACTGTGTACGTCAGGCCGCCAAGCCACATGAATTATCAGCCAGTGCTTGATGACCCTGTGTTCTACGTCGCTTTAAAGGATAGTTTGACACTCTCTGTTTACGTTTACAGGAACTGCATTGGCGGCTTTGCCACAGATGGCGGCCTTCGTCAGTCGCTTCCCTAGTCTTTTCACGAGCTGTAAAGAGGCTGTGAATTGGAGCATTTTTGCTGGGCTCTTGTGTAACAGGAGCAGTGCAGCGATCTCAATACCCTCGCAGCTCGTGAAGACTACACGAGGTGCACTGCCTGCCAGTCATAAGGGTGCAGATAAGGGACCCCCGGACGAAGAAGTTTGGTGAGCGTCATAAAGCATGGCCTTGTCTTCAACGCCTTTGGTCTTTAGCTCGAGCGCTATTCTCAGTGTTGCTTGTTTGACGTGAAGGAAAGGCGCTGAACTATTGTCTTTGCTGGAATTGTTCAGGACATGGCGAGTTGACGTAATGGCCACAGAGCCATATTGGGAAGGTTCGTGCTGCCCTCTACGCCCTGCTCCTGCAGACAACGTGTTCGCTATGCCTTACTGTATACCAGCAATGACACTTCCGCCGATTTCCTGTTGTGTTGTTCAGGTTGGTTCCGCGGGATGTCACATGCCTTTCTGTCGAGCCGCTGCGTCAAGATTTTAATATGCTCAAGCAGTGACCGTTTGGATAAGGAGTTGATGATAGCCCACATGCAGGTGAGTAATTTTTACACGAATTATTTAGTCGTCAGTATGCACTTGCCCAGTCTATACGTCTTCTGTGGAGAATTAAGACCTGCATCGCCATTGCGTTTGGCGACTCATCTGTGCAGGGGAAATTTCAAGTGCAGATCGTCAGCGGCTCAGGTCATGTAATCGAAGTGAGAGTAGTCAAATATTTCAAGGCCGTGCCTCTGTAGTGGGGGTCTTAGCGATAGAAATTCTACGTCCTACCGTACCATACACTTGGCTCAAGTCCTCGTTATTTTCTGCGAAGCCCCTCTGTTTAGGTCTGTGGTTGGCAGCATTTTCGACCTTACTTGGCACTGCATTTGCTGTGGCGAATTGAAGCTAATGTTTCGAATCATGCCTGTTCGGCTGCGTCGCTTTTTTCAGGAGGATCAGCCGGCTGAACTCTGCCGCGTCGTCCAGACATTTATTACTCGTTATCGGCTTCACCTTCCTCCGAGCCAGCGCGCAGGATTGATACGTGGATAAAGGCTGTCGGTACTGGCTGGAGGCGCCATCATGTCTGTATCACTTATCGCCACCGTAGCGCCGTCTCCACAGCAGCGCCTACCGAGTGCTCAGCAGATGCAAAGAGTGGTTTTCAGTAGAAGTGGTGTGAATGGTGCCTTCACTGCAGTACTGTGACGAGCGCCTTTCAAGCAGATTACCACTTTCTTGAGCAACTGCTCTACTTGGAAGAGCAAATGCCCGGACGCGTTGTATTTCCACGTTGCACTGTTGAGGCGGCACAGTCGGTGAATGTAGCAGCCAGGAAGTTCAAGTAGCTTGAGAAACCACATTTGGTACGGCAACAAGTGGCTGTGCAGGAAGACGATGCCTCGTAAGAAAGATTTGCTAACAGGCTTCCTCACGCGTTTGCAAGATGCGCTGTAGGAAGCGAGAATGTGACCGACAGCCGCTACTTGTAACCCTTTTAGGTTACGTGTTCATCCGCCATGTTTTTGACTGAATCGCTGACATTCACGGTATCGACGTCTAGATAGCAGATAGTAACTTGACAGAGAGCCGATGGGTGAGGTCACATGTACTTGGGGACTGAGGAGAACTCGATTTGTGGAAAATTTTTACATTTCCAGGTTCTTTTTCCTGACTTGTAGTAGCGATAGAAGTTTGCTGCCTGTATGCTAAGTCAAGCTCTCCGTGGATACTGCGCCAGCGTTCGCAGGAAACAGTGCGTGTTGGAAAGACACAAATTCCTGTTTTTAACTCGCAGTGTTATGTGGTTCAAATAGAGAATATTGCAGTGTGGTTATCGGTAAAGAGCACTACCCAACGCGCGTCGGTCATAGTTTTTACTAGCAACTAGGGTGAGTTAGCACATCTTGCATGACAGTTGACGCCTTCCTCTGCTCGACGCCTTCAGGATGGGTATCTAGGCTGCATCCATGCCGTAAATTCTCAGGCATGCCACTGAGAGAGACGCTTACAGGCAAGCTTGCCAAATGGTCACCTGGGTAACTCTGGATCTAACAGAACGAATAAAGGTGGCCCAGAGGATTGTTCAACACGTTACAACAGTCCGTCAGCAAAAGCAGCAGCTTCGCACCCTGGGGGACAAGCGCATTTTCCACTGAGGGTACTCGCAGGAACCAGGGACGTTTGTGCCTTAGAGAGGCTTCTTTATATTGCCGTGGAAGGAGTTGGGATTGCTCTGTGCCAGCGGGGACCTGTGAACGTTCGGTGAGATACTACTGTTGGCAGCGATGGTGCTTCGTGCGGAAGTGTCGTACTGGCAGATGCGTCCATGTGCACGTTACACTTTGCTCTCGGTTGGGCCAGCAAGCCAACAAAGCGGCATCTCTGATTTAGAGCTAAGCTGCTCATCAACGGGCTGGCCATGCTAGCCGAGTGCCCCTTTCTAATAAACTGACGGAACAAGATCTGCAGATATAGTTCTTTCCGTAATGCGCAGACCTATTGGTGCGACCGGGCTACCGTGCGACCGGGCTTGTTTCACCGCATAAATCTGTGCAAGGCGAAGCACCAACAGAAGCAGCCCTCATTGCTCCTGCATCTAGAAGTGGCGCTTATATAGGTTCAGGTTTTTGGCAACAGTTGCGAAAGTTTACGCATTGCATAATCTAGAAAGCAATAACCACTGTCTTATTATAGGCAACGTCACTAGGTATGCGCCCTGTCGTTAGAGGAGGACTTTACTAGTATGAGCATGATGATCCCCAATCGTTCCAGATACTTCAGGAGTCCCTGGGATAAACTAACCGTTTAATCAGTGGATACGCGGGTTCGTCGCCTCTTGTGTGTCGAACGTACAGGGGGACACCGGATTCAGTGTGCTGTACGGTGAGATACCTGATGGAGAGCTGTTCAATTCGCACAGCTCGATCCAGCAGTGCACTGCCAGACCCTGGGCATTTCATGTTCAACCGTCGTGCCGTGAAACCATGTTGAAGAAAAAGTAAATACCGTTGACTCCGAGAGTAACATCCGGATAGCCACTCACTCATCAACGATTTGCACTGCCAAGGCTCATGTTCCTGATGGCCTCGAGCTGCAAAGAGTTGCTTCTCGAGACTCGCTCTCTATCCAAAGCTTGGCGGCGCGCCACTTTCTTCGAACGTACTACGGACAGCCTGAGAAGCCAGTAGCAATGCGGCCCAACGCAAACGCGATAAGCTACTAAAAGGCAGAATGCACTGTCTAATTGCTCATATGTTCCTCCTCCTCAGTGTGATTGTCAACGATTCTCACTTCATTCGTGTCCACGGCAGCCGGCGTCCGTGTCTACGCCTCCCGATCCCAACCCCAAGAAGACGCGGAAGTTGTTCCAAGTGAAATACTGGAACCCAGGCCTCTTTAACACGCTGCTCATTGAGATGCGAATCCAGTTCTCCGTTTGAAAAGTCCTTTGAATGAGCATCCTCAGATGCTGCAGCTTCTACGACGTAATCTGCATATGTTGTGGAGACGTCAGCCACAAAGCCGTTAACGCTTTTAACGACCCTTCCTACCACCTGCATCAATTCACAGACTGACAAGAACAATGCGCAAAGGTAATTCTCACGACCTAGAGGGAATGGCAGTATAATTCGCTCCATCTTACAGTACGCTCACCAGTCATAAGCGAGAAAGTGACATGCAACTTCTGCGTCGTGTACTGACCTCTGGATTTGCGCCTGTTGGTAACAAGCCCAGAAGTAGGCGACGAGCAGCCAATGAACCCTGGAGGCGCTAATGAATTCCCACACAGTGAAGCATCAAGATGGCAAAAATGAAATAGAACGAACTTTTAAAGAAACGAAACAGGAAACACTGAACCACCATTTGAATGTGGGGCTCACCACGTGGGAGGGGTCATACAGCAGAAGCGGGACAAACCCACGCTTTCCAGAGAGGGCTGATCGGTCGCTGGTGCTCGAGAGCTGTAGCGCACTGTACATGTTGGCCCCTCCAAGCTTGAGCAAGACGGTTGCAAAGGCTTGGTCCCCGGCCTTGTCATGAAGTCGCTGTGCCAAGTCTATCAGTGGTGCATACTGCGAGTAGGGGACGTTTAACATGTCCGCTACAAGGCAAACAAGCATATGTTTAGGCTTATGCAGTGAATCTAAAGTGGAGCACAGGTCTGAAACTTCACACTGCAAGGTGTTGCTTGCCGTCGAGGCAACTGTCCTACCTGCTAGTTGTCTTAGTGTAAGCTCCTGACAGTCACCAACCGCTGGCAGTGGCCGGCGCTCGAAGCAGACGTGGCTTAGCTGCTCGATGCCCCGAAGTTTACGCAGCTCTGCGCTGCTGCACAATACAACTGATGTCCCAGCAGTCCGGCCCCGGCCTGCACGGCCAGCTCTGGAGCACACAAAGAATACGAGAAGCGATGTTTGGCAGGGACTTAACAGGTTCAACAGCAATAAAAGTTAACTGGCGTAAAACGTAGGTGCATTACTTCTAACATCCGTAATTAAATTCAAGCAGCAAGATCGTGCAGCGTAGCTGTGTGCCTGAAGAGAAGGCACTTTTCCCTGCTTTCCCACCGATGTGTATAAGTCTCAGCAGTACTTGGCGGGTGCATGTGGACCACAAGGACGACAGAGGGTATATCAAGGCCCCTGGCTGCTACGTCAGTGCTGACGAGTACTGACGCCTGCAGGGTTTCATGCAACGTGAGTATTTATCTCGAGTGCACAATGACATTCCACCACCATTGTATGAACCACTTGCCAGACTGTGGCTTATTATGGGCTTCGGAATTAGCAAAGCTGTGCCGACGTCGCTTATGGGAAACTCACATCTCCCTGTATAAAATTCTGCATGGCACGCTGGCGATCTTGCGTATCCATATTTGAATGCACTGAAGAAATACGCCACGAATCCAGTAATGGGTGACTTTTGATGTAACACACCTAGGAACAAGCAATGCACACCCAGTTTTGCACTGAGGAGCTGCACTAACAAAAGAGCTCGCTGAATTTGTAAAATGCCCACGAGCTGAAAAAACGCTAACCTCTTCTTGAGAATCGGCGAAGACAATGCACTGCGGTGGCATGTCGTCTGTAGAGAGCTTCATCCCTGTTGATGATGCTGGTTCGCCTGGAGGCTGCTGATAGCCCGCTGAAGCACCTGCTGCCTCGAGAGCTTCCAAAGAGTCACTTGCTAGATTCTTTGTCGGTAGCGGTTCCTTTTCCTCGTCATCTACAGTGCAGCTCTTCTTTGCTGAAGCTTCAGCTGATCCCCTATTGCTCGTGTTTGGTTGCCTTTCTCCAACAGTCACACGTGGTATGTAGGCCCTCAAGGTCTCCGCCAAAGCCAGCATTTTCCGTTCCTTTTCCATGTGTTCTTCTTCAATCGTTTGGTTCCTTCGTTGTTCGCCAGTTTTCTGTGGCGCTGGCGTCGTTCCAACTGCCGTGCCTTCAACATAGCTTCCGTCGTCTCTCAAGGCATCATCTAGACTCTGTGAAGGAATGAAGCATATGTGGTGCGTTACGCCGGCCCCTAATATTGCACTCCCTGGTTGAATGACACAACAATGAGCAGACAGCTACAACTTAATCGCATCAACGAAGGAAGATGTGTAATGAGACCTTATAGGCTGAAAGCTTACCTAAGGCGCCCTTCTCTGATTTGTCTCCACTTTTACCCCTTGTGGAATTTTCCTCAGTGACCAGTTCTCCGCCTGTCCCATGCTTGGATGCACTAAGGAGGTTTAATACCTCAACCTGTGGGAACTCTGTTTCGAAGATGGAGAGCATACTTTGCGTTAGGACAGCACTAAAGCAAAGTAGCTGGAGAGAGCTACTGAAGCATTGCAGGCCCTCGCCAGACAAATGTTTATCACCTTTGCCATCTCTCCAGCCGAGAGCAGCCCGGTAAAGAAATTGTATTTTCGAGTGGTAGTCACGACGCAACAGTGCGTCTGCTTCATCAACGACTAACACACGCAGATTGTTTAAGCTAAGCGGATTAGGCTCAAGTGGTCCTGACCGAGTTGTCCCCATGCCCCGTGGGCGCCTAAATCCTGTCAGGGCACACACTCTATCTGGCGTGGATACGACAATTTTAGCGGGAATGTGCTGCAGCAGCTCTTTATGTTGGCGCATGGGAGATGTAGGATCTAAGAGGATTACCGGTGCTTGCGGCAGCAGGGCCATCGCGACGCTCGTTACCTGCCTAGCCAGTTCCCGTGAAGGGACTAGGATCAAGGCAAAAGGAAACGAATGCGCTTCAGCCGAAGTATTCAGCGTATCCCTCATCTCCTCAGCCATGAATCTCTGCAGAATGGGGATTAGATACGCAAGCGTTTTCCCTGCACCTGGTCGTGCGGCAACAATTAGGCTTGTGCCTGCCAGTGCGCGCAGAAGGCAATGCCGCTGGACATCTGCTAGCTTCCTAATTCCTAAGCGCTGCAGTCCTTCTTGCAACTCCGGCGATATGGGGAGGGCAGAAATTTTGGCAGCTGACAGCCCAGTAATCGCCCGGGCCTCTGGCTGTCTCTGTGCGTCACCAAAATGTGACGCTGAGGAGACCGATACAGCATGGCAACAAAAGCCTTTGCAGCTTTTGAAGATGCGGCGATGCCGGTGCGCGCAAGAGAAGTTTCCTACCGTTGCACCGATCGCAAGTCGACTTGGGAGTGCTTGCCGAGTGCATGACCTCCCCCAACTAGGGAGGCGAAGCTCACCAGAGAGGTTTCCAAGAATCTGAAGCGGCCTCTGCATTACTTCAAATATACCATTTCTGCAATGTTTCTCTACATTACAGTTCTCAGTTGGACGCTACTCCCAAAGTGAGTTTTCTACACCACCCCCGTGGAGTTCCTCTTCGACGCGGAAAATTCGCCGACAAGAGCGTCAGTTAGTTTCAATTCGAGATTATGGTAATTTCAATCGTCACCATCACGAACAAGTTGACGGGTCAGTCTGCGTGGATCGTCCATGAATCTACGTAAACAATTTTATGGGTGGCCAGGCATATGTTGGAGGAAATGGAGGCACCACTTCTAAGATCATGAAACACGCTTAATGAATGCCATGATTTCACCCAATGGATAGATTGAAGCAGAATGAATGCTAATTTTCTTGGTCGGTTTAACAGAAGTCTCGAAGGAAGCCCCGCCCTTTTGATGGCAGCGTCCCAGAGAACTGCGGACGTAATATGTCATACTTATCAATCCGAAAAGCGACATCAGGTATATGGCCATTAATCAACAATGAAAGAACATTTAATACTGCTGCAGCTGTTGTTCCGCGTTAGGTTCGAGACATTGAGCCCCATGAGTGCTCTGCCGACTTTGCTCTGCCCAAGATTACGGTCTCACGTGCTATAAATTACTATATATTGTTAGAATATTGATGCCCATTGAATGGCAGGACAAAACTATTCCTTGCAATAATTTCTGCTGGTGTCATACCTAAATTGTCCGCGTAGCCTTTTTGTTGCGCCCAGTGGTGTATAGTAACAATTCGTGGAGATTTGCTCCAAATTATAACGGCTACTTTATGGTAGCCATGTTCTATTAGCAGGAAATGATACCTGTAGGCCTATCATAGCCCAAAATATAGCGAATTTGCATAGATTGCAGGCCGGTTGTCGGTCCTAGGGTGTGAGATGCGCGGCTCAGTGAGAGGTTCAGGGTAACTTGCATGCTCCCAAACAAAGGTCGATCTCGACGCCATAAATCCTTTAAAAAAAGCAGTTGATTCGGTCTAAAGAGAAATGGACAGGTAACCCAGCTATGTGTCTAGAGGCGGGAAAACAAAAGAAGCAGAGAACGAGACTCGCCGCAGAACTCCCGGGGTTTTGACGATACCACGGGGATTTCACAGCTGTAAAGACAATTTTCCTACAACAGTGTAGCATTATTAAGTCATTGTTTACTTTAGAGCCTGCCTACAAGTAGTCGTAATCCGAGAACTGATCATCGCGTCGATTCCAAGCAAGGTGCCTCGGCAGCTTCTTCCACGCAGCTGACGTGCTGTTGTCCCTGATGCGTAAAAATTTCAGAAGCGCCCTTTCTTTCCATGTAGAAGAAATGGTTGTGATATTGTGCTATATTCAAAGGCTTTGCGAGGCACTCAATACCAGCAGTGTTGCTCTACGCGTCGCCTTAAACCACCAGAAACAAGCTTTAAGCCGATTAATTGTGCACATCAAATAACAATCACGAAAGTTGAATTATATTCACAGCAACTCCAAAGGGCGTTTGTCTCCTTTCCCAACATCAATCTAGTGTAATAAAGACAAAGTATGCACCTGATTGGCTCGTTTTCCGGAGTGAGCGAGGCACTAGGTGTTTGCAAGGTAGCGTGTTTTAGACGATTTTTCTCAGGGGCTTAAACACACTATTGAAGATGTGGGAGTGCTAAGGCGTAGGTGCTCCAGGGCAATATGCTGCTTTTGGTCTAGCCCCTCACGGTGCCCACACAAGCAACTCATTGTTAATTCTGTGGAAAAACTACGTGCGGGGAGTAATTTCAAAAAGATTTTTCAGGTATGAGACTCGATTGTGTCGACTCCACAGATTATCAGTCTTCAAACGATCAATTCATTTGCATAGGAGGGTCAGTTTCTAAAACTGTACTAAGCGAGTGCTCACTGGACGTCATCCTGCTGAAGCAACATCCGTGGTAAAGTTTGCGCATATGTCGGTTACTAGCACCTACTGAAGCTTACAATTTTCATGTCTTTAGGCGCAACCACGTAGTGAGTCAGCGCGTACTTCTTCGTGGGAAAAAATTAAAACAGACAGAGGAAGTGAGTTTCATTCAGTTTGACCTTGGTGACGGAGAGGATCTTAGTAGAGTGGGCGTTGGCTCCTCCACTGTACAATAAGTCACATTATATGGTAAGTGGCTTCCCAAGGTAGATCTCATGAGGAGTAAGCAAAGACCTTGCCCCAGGCCTCTGCCGCTCAAAGAGTCATGTACTTTCGGTGCAAGTGTATACAATGCTCACCCGCCGCATAAGATGCTTTCGGAGGAGCGGTGACTATAAAGTAGGGTTGCTATGCTGCGTGACTCCAACAACTCCTGGCTTGGCTGATCGATAGTACGAAACCTCACTAGCAACTATGACATAGCTACGGTTTGACTAAGTGATTTGCCACGTAGTTGTTCTGTCACTGTGGAGATGCCCTGCCAAACAAATTCCTTAGCAGTCTCCTGTTGGAGCATTGTTCCTGCTGCACCACCGGTGCCTCGCCTTAATTCAGTAATGACACGCAATAATCTTCGTGCATTTCATCGTCTCCAGTTCGATTTCCAGTTAACAATATCCTGGTCCACAAAAGCGTGGGCTTAGTTGCCGTGATGCCAATGCCTCTGGAAGGCTACACGAATGCATTTGCCGCCTCAGGTATGACCCCAATAGCGCTCTGGCTCTCTGGGATTTCTCCTTGAAAGGCCCATGGCTGGCACTTTCTCGACACCGAAAACCATGGGACTGGCTTTTTGCTACGACAAGACGGGTACGTGGGAACCCTTCACTTTGTTTCGTACAGTTTAGAGAAGCTTAAGGTCCAACCGTTTTCTCCGCAAACTCGAATACACCTTCAGTTTGGTGGCTGCTTGCATCTGTCGACAGTTACCTGCAGTTCAGCTGTTTGGCGACTACTCCACAGGCAGTTGTGGACCGTTTGCCTTCGTCGTACCTTATGAGAAGTTTAGTTCTTTTCAGATCTAAACTTTCCATAATTGTCACCAGTCATGCCTTATAAGTCGGTCCCGTGGCGATGTGCTGGGCTGCCTCCTTGGCTGCCTCTGGAACTCTAGTCAGAGTTGCTACCGTGCTCAAGGCGCTGCATAGACTTCTTGCCTTTAGTTCGCCCTTATTGTTGAGAAAATTGCTTGTTCAAATGCTTCGTCTTTTCCTCATTTAGCACACAAGGCCATAAATGTGTATCTGCAGACGTCTCCGTGGCTGCTGAGCTGGGCCCATCTCGTTGTGTTATTCTCATGAAGTTCCTTTCTTTCGGCCCATCCCTGTGCACTCCCTACGGACTGTATGAGGCCAAGTCACTGACTCAACATCATTTTGGGCCGGATTTCACCGTCCTTACCGCCAGGAAGTCGAAGACCAATTTGCCCATGTTGGCAGTGGACAAATGTAAAATGTGCGCACTTGCTTGCAGCTCTTTCGTCTAAGATTTTTGTTGATCACGGCTATCACCTAAGCTCGAAGTTGAGGTATCATTAATCATTTATAATGCGCGCTTTTCTGTCACTTCATATTCTTTTACAACGCCATACACGTAGTTGGCTATTTTGCAGGCCGGTCTTTATCACGAGCTCAACAAAAGTTCTCCAGAAGTATGTTTCCGCTCTATAAGCCTCTTTGTTGAGAGCTTCCATAACCACAGAGTTGCAAAAGCTCGGTGAAGGGATGTGGACGAAAAATATTCGGGCATTTGTCTTGTACAGCCCTTCAACCACCTCAGAGGCCGAGATGTAGTAGAGCATTGCTAGGCTCGTTTGCTGCACATTCCCGCCAAAATAAAGGAAACAGAGCAGCAGGCCACATTCCCGCGATGCAACTGGAGCGGCGGGAAATCGTCGAATTGTTTGTTATGGCGCTTTACCTCTCAGAAATCATCACCCTCCCTGCAGAGAAAGGCGCACACCATACTCTATTTATAATGCTTAAATACCTGGTAGAAGTTCTACATTTTTTCTGAGAGGCACTTGAGCAAGCTCTTGAATCTTTGCCACTCCGCAGATACGTGTTATGAGGCGCTAGTAAATGGGGCATCTTCCCAAGGGCCAGATCTTCATAGAGGTTGCTGGATCAAAAGTAGTTCGCAGAATTGATCCACTTTCAAGCTCTAATAAACCGCTATGTGGTTTCCCATGGTGTCATAGTTGACGACTCTCTTGTGTAACGCCGTGCCTACAATGCTACGATAGGAGCATTCGAACGCCCGTCTTCCATGGAGAAACAGCCCATTTTCATCTTTAACGAGTAGTGCATACCAGATACTTCAAGGCCATAATACACTTTCCTGGAAACACGTAATCCCACGTTAAATGTACAGAGCAACTTGGGGGCAACATCGCCTCCCGGGATGCACATACTGCGCGGAGGCACCTACTGAGGTAGGTAATACTACTGAAAGCTACTCCAACAAAATCCGCCTTGGGGGCTCCCCAGAGACGTCCACCTCTGGAATCCCATGAAACTCGTTTTTGAGGGATAAATTCCTGGAAAGGCTATCTGGAAACCACCATTAAAAGCCACGTCGGGGCTCCCAGAGGAAGCTTGTTCGTCTAGTCCTTAGCAAGCTCCTATGGCTCCTGCTCATTTGCCTAATTCTTGATTCTCCTAGTGCATTGATACTCGACCACAGACATCGATGTCTTTCGATGTGTGTAAATTCGAGAATCTTATTACATTGTCAGATGCACTTCAGATAAAGTACTTTCAGGATGTTACGCAGGTAACATGGTTACTGCCATCTGCAGGGAATGTCGCTCAGAACGAGTGGCTGATACTTCGCAGACACTAGATTCCTGTATTTTCTTTAGCAGTTGTCCTGGCTTAACAGAAGGGTATGTTGCGCAGATAAAGTTCTGTTTCTCATTCAACGGCTTGCTCACAAATAGGGCTGTGCCATCAAGTAGTGTGATTTACAGTTTCTTCGAAAATCCAGGCGAGGCAGGTGCAGTACTCATCAAATAAAGAAAATGTAAAAGTTAACTCGACTACAAACATTTTGGGGAGGGCCATGTAGGCCCAGTCAGTCCAAAACTGACGAATGGCAACACCAGCGAAAGGGAGCAACATGAACGATAAGTACAAGACAAGGCCACGAGGACGTCGGACGATTCAGTTCCTCCTCTGCCATAGAAGCTTTCAGTTGCCTCCGGGCAAATGACATTTGCAGCGATGGCTTGACAGTCATACGCTCGCTTGTAGTACACTTCATGAATCGGTCGCCATAGTCAGTGCTACTCCCGCAAGTACCCAGCGTCGTTCCGAATCATCCGCACTCATCCTGATCCAGACACAGACAGTAGACAACGCATGCATGGGCGAAACGCAGCTATGAGACTCGCAAAAGTCAGGGTCGACTGAAGAGAGTAATCCAGAGCTGTTGCATGCAGGATGTCCTCTTGTGACCTGCAGATTACAGCTCACCGCAGATTTGCAGTGGTCACATAGGTTGGTCCTCTTGCTGATGTTAGATAAACAGGGCAGTTGTACATGCCGGTATTGTCGGCCTCCTCAGTTGGTATGGCCTGCACTAGGAAGACAGGCATTGGGTACTGTAGAACCTTGGGCTGTGCTTGAGTAAGATTTCCTTCGACGTCTCCCTTGCCATCCTCCCAAGCCGCACCTTCCAGGAAAAGCCCATGAATCAGTACTCCTTTTTCGGGAGCCGTTATAGGCGGCTGTTGCGGTTGTGACCCCATCTGCGCCGCTCCTGCTGCAGCCCCATACCGGATATTTGTCACTGTCCACCAGAGGCACATGCGATCTAGTGCGAGCGACTCCTCTCGCGCACGAACCTAATCACAAGAGGAAAGATACCCTTAAGGCAAACTGAGCCGCGCAACACGGAGGAAAGCATAGAAAGGTCAGCGATATACACCTGCGATAAATAATTTGCTGATTTATTAAGTAATTGGACTTACCTGCATTACGGCCGTCAGGAATGACATAGGATTAAAAAGCCCCGATATCCACAGAGGACAAGGGAGGGTAAAGTCTGCGTTCCAATCATCTAGTTGTTTCACCCGATGCAGGAGGTCATTCACCCTGAAGTTTGAACACCCACTGCAAGCTCATGGCTTCCCCGGAGGACAGTTCTCACCAGCAGGTACATGCAGTCATAGGATTATGGGACTGAAGGCAACGTAGGTATATGTTTTTCGTGCTCTGGAGTTACCCACCAGGGTGCCAGCTGCTTGCGCGACTCATAGGCGTACGGCTTCCAAGCTTCTGGAACCCTGCCCATGTAGACGGAGGCTGACAGTTGTTCCATAGACTCAGTCAAATTCAGTGCGCCCTGCGCACAAATGCGGAAAATAGGCTGCCTAGGCATGCTCTCTTTGAGCGTCACTGAGCTTACGCAGAGCCTTCTGAAGTCGGGTCTGCATGAAGACACCGTGTAGTACTTTTCGGTGCCTTTTTGATCTTCTGACAGTGACACTTGAGTAATAGTACTATTACATTCGTGCGCCTTTTACCTCCAAGCCTTTCTTGACCTGCTCCAAGGTTCGTCTAGCCTCCACCAACAGAACGTTCATTCGCTCTATTTCCTAAATGAGCGTAGCATTCAGTGCAACGTAAACCACCGCGGCGTGGGTCACTGTTGCCGCAGAAAGCTTTCTGGCTTACTGTGCTTCATGGCTCTTCTGCATGCAACGCGATGAGTTTGTAGCGGTCAAGCTCCTGCTATGCTGGCTCCTGAAATACCGGCAACTCACTTGAAGGCACACGACGTTTGAAGGATGAAATTCCTTGACTCTGGCCCGAATTGCACCGACATCAAATGGAACAGGTATTTTCGAAAGCAAAGAATCCACGACAGTTAGTACACTATCGTCTTTCCCGCCGCCAGAAGTTGTAGCACCAGCAAAGCCAGATACTTCCTGAGTGCGCTCACATTCAAAATCACGTCGCTCTTGGCACTTCAGCGATTAGTTAGGAACCTTTTGCATCGATGTCACAATTGAACACGGCGTGAGCGTGGTTTCCATGAAAGAATGTGCGGGCGAGTTATCATTGTCAAGCCGCAGATAAAGCGTACCTGTAGGGTTGTAAATAACTCATCTGTTTGGGAACTCAGGGACCCCAATTCAGCATTAGGATGAAGACCGAAGACCTTCACAACAGGCACACCTATTCAAATGCATTTGTGCCATAACTTGTCACTTTTGTCAAAATTTGGTCGTTCAAAACATACAAGAGGCTTCCAGTGAAAAAAGTGACAGTCAGAATACCAGCATGACACACACCCCAGTAATACCTGTGGGTTTTCCGGAGGCGTCCGTTCCTCAACAAATTTCTCGTATAGAGCGAAGTCCGTCTTCGCTGGGTCTGGAGTTCGGAAAGAAGGACCAAGCTGGTAGCTTTGAAGTACCTCAGGCAGAATCAGGCCTGCCAAGTATGTATTATTTACGCGACGATCAAAGCCATCCGTGATGTGGCCACCGTACATAATTTCTCCCAAAATATACCGGATATCTTCAAAAGGTATACTAGCATACCTGAACAGCCCCAACACCGCAGTGGGAGCATACACCAGATGGACAGTGCCTGAATACCTGAGGGAGAAGCTCGATACAGTGCCGTTTGACTGCCTCTTCGTTGTGTGCAGCCTTACTTGTCTAGGTAATTCCTTATGACATTGCCGCATATTGTCAAATCTCCCTCGTTAAATGAGTAGGACCGGCTCCAGCCCAGAAAGCCAAACTTTTTGCGGCCGATGATCAGCGCGTGGAAGTAACACAAAGAGAACAACAGTGCCTTGAACTCCCGAGGACGAGAAGAAGACTCAACCATGTCCTGAAGTATACATATCCTCAATGCACATTTAAACCGTTTAGTCAGCTGTGCTGTAGCGCTTAAAAAGAAGCAAATGCTATGTGCTTCTGTTGGTAACAAAATGCAGTGCCTTGCACTGACTTTTTTCGGGCTTTTCCTCTGGTTATCTACTTGCCTTCCCAGGTCCATTCACTGAAAGCAGGTCGCAGCAACAATTCGCCCATATGAGCTTACCCGCGAGAAGCAGGAGAGTGCCCTGCGAAGATTGGCTTTAAGGTCCTGAGGAGCTTCATCGGCAATCTTGATGCTCCGTTGAAGTAGTGCCTCGGGAATAATTTGCAGGTCACGTAGAGGAGGAGGCTCAGACGTCACAACACATCTGAATTCAGGATGCGCTGCTGAGCTTACTTCTTCTAACTTTCGTTGAAGGCGCTGCAATATCACAAGCCACAAAAAAGATCCATGTTTTTGACGTGCCAAGCAGCGCTTCGTAGAAGGATTGTAGTCAATGTAGCTGAAGCAAGTAAGAAGGTGTACGCTTGTAGTGCTCAAACCCTAAGCCTTGCACTGCGATTCCTAAAGTCAAATATTTTCTTACCTTGAGCCATTCTTGCATGAGGTGCACGTTTTGCAGGACAACCCAGCCACCTGTATCCGCTGCTTCCTGAACAGCACTGATTGCGCGATCTTCTTGTCCCTGACCCATGGATATATTTATGAATTTTCCATTTCCCTGAGCAAGAAGAAGCGTCTATGTTTAAACGCTATCCACTTCAAATCATCAGCAGGCAGTGTTGCGCGCGTTACGTAAGCCTGCACTATCGCTGTAGCGTTTCCCATGCTGTGCTTAGATAAACGTGCGTGACTGACAGATGTACACCCTTTTGATCTTGCAATAGCCTCTAACGCGGGGGTGGGGTCAACACCAGGGAAAAGAACAATGAATATTGGAGTGAATTTGTCAGCTTCTTTCTCGATTTCATGTATATCAATAGCAGGAGGCTCCACAAAGAATCTTCCGATTTGCCCAGCGACAAACTGCTGAAGTGCTGACATCATTCTATCTGGTCTAAGGTACCGCAGGAGCAACAGCTTTTCGAATTCAGTAATCCCGCGGAACAATCGCGGAGGCTCAAGGGTTTCTGGAGTGTCCTCAGCCATCCATCTGCACATTACACAACGTAAAATCGAAACACTGTTCTGTTTCGCAGCATCGTGAGCTTGTGAACTTAAGTAGAAGGTATTAACCAGAGGAACACGATGCAGAAGATTTTAACCAGAGAAGCACAGGCCTCAAAAGGGAATCCCATTATACAGCAGGTGCGAAGTTCTCAGCTTCCACACGACAAAAGTGCACTGTGCAGCGCGTCACGGATTAGTCATGTCAACTCTACACAGTGATTTGCCAGCTGGCGAAAAATATCTAAAACCTCCTTACCTAGCCCATCCAAGAGAATCTTGGTCGAAGTTTTGCAGTAAGGATATTTGGTTGTTTTTGAAAGCTTTCAGCTGTTCTAGGGACCGACAGCAAGACCACTGTGCCTCGGATAGCCACGAGCGAGCTGCCTCTGGCATAGGTGGGGCTGTAGGGTCAGGACCGACACGAGTCAGCAGACGAACCTCTTCCTTCGTGACGATATTTTGTTCCTCCTGTAGAAGTTGGTACCAAGCAACTTAGTCTCTCATGAGTGTCACGCTTTACAAATAAATGATACTGCAAGCTAGGATGGGCCAACACAGTTGCGACAAGGCAAACTGCAAGGAATTGTTGACCAAATGAAGCAAGGAGGCTTTAGTAATTCGGGTAGACTTGCCATGATCCGTAAAGTCAGGAAGACTGCAACAGTTAACTTGTGACTATTCAGCAGGCATCTGTTGCAGGATACGAAAGCAAACTTCGTTATTACATCCTTAAGCAGCGTAACACGAGACGCATCTGGGCTGGCATCTTTTTCCTCTTCGTCTTCAACCAATTCGTCGTTGGGTGGCTCTTCGCTAACGGGGAGTTCCTGCTTTTGGTCTGCAGATTCTTTTTCGTTCTGTGAGAGGGGAACTGCAGATCCAATTGCTGTATCTTCTGCATTGTCAAATGCTTGTGACTCCGATTCGCTTGCAGGCTGCGGAATCTCAGGTCCAGCATTCTCGCAGTTAATCTGCCGCCCACACCGAACGGCGTTCCAGACAAAATTTGGAGGCAAGCACGTTCTCTATTCTGAAATAGAGATTTAGTGACCTAGTTAGGTGAATAAAGCAGCGTATTTGATTAAGCGTCAGCTTACTTGATCTTTGTCCTCGTCGTTAGAGATCTCTTTGAGAGGAGCATCCAAATTGTTTTTGGCCACGGTAGCATTGCTACTCGGCGTAGGATTTTCTGAAGTAGTCCCTTCCGCAAGATCCTCAGCGTTTGGTTCAGGAGCAGAGTGTTCCGTTTCCTTTGTCAACGATGGTTTCTGAAAACACCGAAAAGCGGATCGTAATGCCGGCACACTTCAGCCCAATTTTCCTGTCTCTCCAAAAGAATGGAGATAAACAGCTAAACTCAAGCGCTGGTAAGCTGAACCATCGAATGCTTCCTCACCTCTGATATTGAATCGATTGCCCGGTTGATGACTGCAACAAACGATTCCATCGAGAATAGATAAAAGCTGTGTATTTTGAAAAGTTGAGCTAGTAAGAAAAACAGACTGGCTCCTCGACGGGCCACCGGTCTATACATTTCCGATACAGCATTAAGCTTCTCTTGAGTTACTTTCGCAAGAGCAACCTTCTCCGAAACTTCTGTGGTGATCTGCTTTGTCTTTTCCAGGTTTTGGATCAGCTCGATATTCTCCAGCACATCGCCCTGAAATGAATCAAGTACGGCTTATTCCGCGTGTTTCCCTAGCTTTCTTTGCACAGGTAACTGCACTATGAAGACAAAGTGGTTTAGCATCTATTGAGATAATCGCAAAGCTGTCAATTTCATAACTGTTGCATGGTTTTTCGCCATTCAACAAATGAGTGTTCAGAATACTGGCCATGAGCACGTTGTTGCCCTACTTCGGCAGAGGATATTTCCCGCAAAAGGGTGTTCTCAAGATCGGCAAGAAGAATGGTAAACTCATTTTGCTGCTGAACAAGATGAATTCTTCGTTTAAAGAGTCTAGGTTGTTCCTTTTGCATCGTCAAATCGAGTAACTGATCTTCCAGGCCCTTCGTCAATACAAGAGCGCACGCATAGTTACACAAGACAACAATGTTGAGCTGAATGCGCATAGGGTTCTCATGCTACGATGAAAAAGTAACCTGATTTGTCTTTCTGTCGGACCCTCCACTGAGGAGCAAGAACTTCTGGAAATGTTTTACCTTTTCTGTGACGGTGAAGTTTATGAGGGTACATTCAGCATGGAGTTCGGGAGGATAATGTGGATTAGATAATCGTGTCTGCAGGAATAGCCTGAAGTTTGTATTGTAAGGCACTTCCTTGTCCCCAAGTTTGAGATATTGCGACCGACCCCTCCGGATGGTTAGACGTCCGACAACAGGCGCCAGGACGGGGTCGATGGACTGTTCCAAATTTTCGATTAGTACGCTAGTTCCCTGTTGAATGGCCATCTCCATGATGGATATCATTCGGGGAGTGTTGAGGCGCACCACCTGCAGTTGTGTTTGACACCTTGGTTCGCTCTCGTAGTCACTGTTTTCGTTGCGCTTGTAAAATGAAGAAACCGAGAATTTTCTCTCAGGCTCAGCACTGTGGCCACCTCCCAAATGAAACGTTAGGCTGGTGGTGTTCCTAGGCGTTGTAAGCGGCTGTTACAGGGTTGCTGGCTGGTCACACAAGGCTGGTGACAGGAACTAAATTTCTACAAAGTGCCACTATGACGAGATACCAGTGCAAAACTGCTTGCCTGAAGACTATTCCCCTTTTCTTTCTCTACAACCCATTTCCTTCCTTGCATTTGCGGATCTATCATGAGAGGCCACCGCTCTGTTGTAGAGGCGATTGCGCCGTTTTCTAAAGACGCCGGATCTGATGGGAGACCTTGATTGCTCCACCTGAAGGGCAGAATCACATATGATAGGCTTCAATCAACGTAGGTGGATGGCGCATGATTTTCACAATTCAGGAATAAGACTTAGGACAATTTGCCTGATGAGCTACCTCAATGAATATCAAATTTTGAAGCGTGATACTTTGGCGCTTCACTCACAGTGCCATTTCAGCTTCATTTGTGAGCTGGGCAAGTACAGCTGCAGGCTGTCGTAAAGGCACTCCTCGGTCAATTATGAAAGGCATGGCTTTTTCATATGTCAGCCAATCCCGATACTTTTTGCTAAAAACTCCAGCATACGCCACGAATGATGAAGACAGTAGCATGTCTCCAACGGTGACTCGTCGCTGAGCATAGGCACCAAGCAATCTTAGATTGTATCCGCAGCTCCCGTTGCTACCCATCTCTGGTGTGCGTAATGATTAGAAACTTTAAAAAACGTATATAAGAGCGATTGTGCAAGGCTGATGCAGTCTAATATGAGGTTGGTGTTCAGCTCGATAGGGGATGCCATAGGGCCACCTACTTGCTCTTTCAAGTCATCAATCGTTTGCCCCCATCTGGCTCCTTCGGATCCCAATGAGCGCATGAGCCTTTGGGCTAGATCTAACTTTTTCTGACACTTCTGTGCCTCTTCCTCTACAGCATTTTTCTCTGCTATTGCAGAGTCAAACTCCGCTACCAGCTGCCCTAGCTGAGGAGATAACAAAGAATCTGGAATACGTTTTAGTTTTGCTGCGCGTGTAGTGCTCAGTTGTTAAACGTCGACGACGGGAAAAATGAAATGGGAATTTTCATCTATTTATTTTCCAGATGTAAATGTTCGCACGAGTTGCACTAGACAGGCCGCGCGTTACCTTTTCCTCAAGATCCGCAACCAAATTCTGTACCTCGACAAGCTTCTTATTTGCGTCTTCCAGCTGCTGCGTAGCTTCTGCCAACGCCCTTCTTTTGGGTTCTACAGACACCACTACAGTGTAATACTGATATATGTTGACAACCCACTCTGCAAGACCTGCTGCAGCTGTGCTCTTCTTTTGGATAGCCTCGCGATTAAAGTGCGGAAGCGCTAGTAGCGGTTCCACAGCTTTGAAGTTTTGTTCGGGCACGCGGCCTTCATCGATGACCCCCTTAAAGTCTTTCAGTGTCTGCAGAAATTTCTCAGGGTTGTTCATCATCTTTTGCGCTCCCTTCCAGCTTTTGTCTTTCAGTTTTCCCTGCTTGTCGACCTACAATAAAAAGTACGAGCAACCAAACTACTCTACAATGCACATGAATAGTGCACAAAACGTACCAATGCCTCGAGTGAATGAAAAACCAGGGACCGGGGAAAAGCTAGTGAGCTGAAGACGACAAAAGGTAAAGACGAAAACCACTACATGTTTTCATGCACCCTCTCAAGGTTGTGCCATCGCAGTACCACTCAACTGGGTTCACATCTCCGTTAAAACTTCTGTGCAAGCTTTCTTACATCAATAATTGGATCAACTGTTGCAAGTAGATGCATCACAGCAGCAGTAATATCTTCAACCCCTGCAGGAGGTTTGTTAAGCGCCTTTGCTTCCTGGAAGTCCTTTTTGTTAAGCGTATTCAGAGCGGCTTCTGCCTGTTGTACTAGTGGAATTGCTTTTTCTAGGTCCGCCTCGCAAGATGCCTAAAGTGTGGCAAACAACTAAACCAGCACAGTAACGTTCTGTTACACAATTTCAGCGTTCATCTAATTTCTCGTCCAGTGCTCATGCATTTGTGTTGCAACAAGCCGTACTTTCTCATGCAAGTTTTTTATGTGCGCTTGAAATGTTATTCGATTTCTAGTGTTTCCCACGTCAAAGTCTTGAGTTTCAGGAAGAATGTACCCCGATGCACGCGACCGTGTAATATTGTACATATATATCTAGCTTACTCGTTGCTCAGAAACTGATTTCTGGATTTCGGCGCACTTAAGGGCCTCGATACTCGCATTTTTGGACTCTGCAGTCACTTTCGCCTTTTCTTCTCCCACCTTCTGCGCGAATTCCTCAGCCGCTGCCTTTTTCTCCTCCACTGTAACTGTTTTCTCGCGTAAGTCATCTTCCAGTGCTGACACCTTTTCCTGAGTATCTAATAACTTTGATAAGCCGCTGCTTAGGCGTTCGCTATGCTCTTCTATAGATGATATGCGTTTCAAAAGCATGGATTTGTAGAGCTTCATGGCCTCTATGAATGTCTTCGGGGTAACATAAGCGAACCTATTGCACAAAAAGAAATGTCACATCCTTTTACCTAAGACTGGCAATTCACCGACTCGAGCTGTTAAGTGCACACTTGCTTGTTTCGCTTGTTACCTGCGCTCCACTTCTAAGTATGTTCTTGTTGCATCATTAACGGCGTAAAACATGTACGGTAGAAAGTCCACAATTGCCTTGCTAATTGACTCTTCATCTCCAAGTGGTATCTCAGCGCAGAATTTGGTAGCCACTGAATGTAAGGCCTCGTAGGGCCAAGGCTGGAACCAGTCGATTACTGTGCAGTTGACGAGAGCGGGGAACTTGCGAGCTCGAGTCCTAAGTCACATGCAGCTCAACATCCGTAGATAGGTTTTTAGATACAAGACACATCGGAGCAAATTGCATGCCACCGTGGAGTTTTTAGTGAAACTGTCACTGCTTTGCCTACCTAAACTGTCGACTACGAAGCAAAAAAAAGTTGTTTTGTTACTCTCACCTCAGGCCATCACCGACTGGTGACAAGCACAGTACAGCATGCAAATTGCGTCTGATTTTGTCAATAAAGAAATTCCAGCAGCCTTCCCGGGTGTCCGAAACTCCGGCTGCCTTTGCTAGTGGTCGGATAGCATTCATCAGCTGGTCCTTGTCATCTCCCTCATATAAGTCAGCAATGTCTCCGGATGCAAGTATGTCATTTACATACACCAAGAACCTTTCGCTTGCAATTTGAGCGTCGCTTAGCATAAAAACAACTCCTTCATCTTTAAGAGCTGCTCGGGAATACATATTCTACAGAGAAAAGAGAGCCAAGCCACAAGTATCCTACCACAAATGCACTTTGAAGGGCACGTCGGTCCCACAATGATTTGACCTTACAAACTAGTAGATGCTAATAAGGTGGAGTGCCGAAAGGTTATTGCGTAGTTCATGCACATACGCAGCACTCGTACGCTTGCGAGAGAAGCAATATCCGGGTTGTGAGCATGCACGTCAGCTACAGACGCTCTGTTGGCACCGTACCCTAATATCGTTTTTAAGGTCCCGGATGTCATATGTGGACGATATGGAAAGCTGCTGAGTGAAAAACCCGCTTATAAAAGACGATAGCCTCGTTAATGACTGTTTGCCAGATCCACCCACTCCAACCAAAAGAGCATGGCCTGCCCTGTTGTTAATTACCCTGCAGATGCTACAAACATGATGCATTGCATCGTCGAAAAGCACCAGATCCATTGCCGGATTTATCTCATTGTAGTCATTTAGGGCCCCACGAAGGATTGCCGCAAGCTCGTCCATTGTCCCGATCCGATCATATGCTGCAACGCAAAGCTCAAAACAGTGAAAATTGCATAAGTTACCACTAAAGGACACAGCATGTCTACTTCTTTGAAGGTCACTGGAATCTAGAAGGAATTGCAGTAAAACTGATATCATTCAGGAGCTACAGTGGCGTCGAAACGCTGCGTCCAACTGACCTCCTGCCCCTTCTTTTCCGAAATGAGTGAATATCAGCGGCTCCGGGTTTTTTGCTTGTACAACTTTCCCCAAATTGAACCTTCCAAAGTTTCTTTTGGCGCAGTCCGCTGCGATGGCTTTGTACTTTTTGCAGTCTTCTGGCGTAACCAGACGGTCACAAAACGTTCGCTCACATTCATGAAGCCATAGTAGCACCAGCTTTTCTGGATCCTGCCCGAGCAAAGCAGTCCGCAATGTGTGCGCACAGTTCGCTTCTTCCCGTATCTAGATGTGTGAGTGCACCGAACATCAAGAACCACATCTATATTGAATATTTCCACTCAGAGCGTAGAAGCGAAGGAACACACTGAGCACCTGAGGTATAAAAATGCCACCCAGTCATAGTTCCAAAGCCAAGCAGTCCACAATTTGTGCCACTATGGAGTTTTCCGTCAGCATACGAAGCACCTGCATGCTCTGAGGAGACGTTGACAGGATCCCTTGGAACACACTGGTTAGGTGCCGCATGTTAAATTCGTAGTGGAAATTGACGGCTGTCTTCCGGAAAGCTTGAACTACCTGAGCAGTTGGTGACAAACAACTGCATATTTTTGTATGCTCACAAATGCCGTCTACTTCTTCCGCAGGTAGTTAGCAGCTAACAAATGCAGCGGATCTGGCTGAATGCCTCGCTACTCAATCTGCAAACAAGCTGAGTACTCCTCTCACCTCCGTGTGGATGCTCATGGTTGCTTTGATTACTGGCATGACTTGCTCTTTCACAGCCTTTCGGAAGTTTCGCACATCAAAGAATCCATTCATAATTGAGGCGTAAATTGTAAACAAGGATGTCAATTCAGGCATGGGGACGTTTAGTACCCAGAAATGCCGGCTTAGTCGTGGATTCACCACAAATGACCCCGCTGTAGGATTCATAGCAGCCAGAACCTGTGTATTGCCGATATCCTTCATTTGCATTTTGTTCCTGTCAAGCCAGTGCTGGTAGTCCAAGTATTGTCTTAGCAGCGCGATAGCGCTCTGTGTGTTATAGGGGTCAAGTTGAGGCATGTTTAAGTCGTCGAGAAAGTATACTAAGTGTAACCTGGAACGAATGCACACGCTTTGAACATGCAAAAAATGTCAGCTGCATTTCGGATTGCTGAGCTGCACAATCGGCAGGTCTCAGGCGCAGAGCAAAACTGTTCTAAGCTCACTTTCCCGGTGGGCCAAACTGCCTGCCCGCTTTCTTCTCAAGAGGCTGTTCGAGGAGCGTCTGCAGCAGCGCGGAATCTGTGTAAAAGTTGAAATTGACTGTAAAAGATGAAAATGCATCTGCAGCCAGGGATGACAAAGCCGCCCTGCACAGCTGGGTTTTTCCGCAGCCGGCAGAACCAATGCACATAACTGGTGCGTGAATCTTCAATATAGTTTTGCAGAAATGCAGCATAGATATGGTTTCAGCTGTTGGCACCGAAATGCTGTCAATGCCTTCTGTTCCCTTGAGCTGTAGAGTGGGCACTTTTGACTCCCAGCTCTCGAATTTTGTCTGAAGAAACACATGGTTTCATTAGCTCCTGTATTTTCTTTCACGGTACTCTGCATTGGACCCGTGAAATACGCATTCAGGGCGGGATGCTTCTAGGTGAAAAGTTACTAGTCCAAATCGCAAGATTCACAACATCAAGGAAGGCAGGAAACTTCACGAATGACCTCCAAAGCAGCACTGCAAGCGGAAACTAAAGCTCTTCGGTATACACTTTCCGGAATATCCAGGAGCCGGCAAGAGTTTCAGCTCTCCGCCAAATGCTGCAAGTGAACAGCTTACAGTATCGACAAAGTATTCAAAAATAGATCCTTTGCTCGGAAATTTAATCACTTTCCACTCCGACCGCCACCAGTTGTTAAACTGCCTGCGATAGTCGATCCCATCTTTTTCCTGCAGACTGCCCCCTGCTGCCCAAACGAGGCAAAATACAAAGGCAAACTCAGGTGCCTGGGGATCCTCCTGGTAGAGTCCTTCGAGCTGAGAGAAGCCAGAGTCGTAATGATGCTTACAAGCATGTATTCAATATAGATGCATTGGTCTACCATGTCGCTCTTCCCCCTAAGTTTGCTCTTTGCATTTTCTTTCATGCTACTCACAGATTCTAAGCACTCACCATATTGCACAGGGCAGCTACAATTTGCAGGCTGTACACCTGGACACTGAGCTTGCACTGTCTTTCAACAAATTCAAGCGTCGAGGGGCAGTACTTTTCAAACAGCTTCCCGACATCTGCTTTTATTGCCTCAGACCAGCATTGACGCTGAAGCCAGCTTCGCGCGTAGCTTCTCCACTGCTCCCCTGCATGCATAGGGCGCAACAGTGTGCACCAGTAAAGCTGAAGCCTGACTTTTCTAGAATCTTGCCGTCCCTTGCTGGCACAGACGATAGCAGTGAACAGAAGCTGCTGCCTACCTGTCGAATCGCTAACGAAGATTATTCCTGCTCTGGAAACAGTGGCCGGCGATGCAAATTGCAAATCTCGTATTTCGAAGATCATGCGCATATGAGGTTTTAGAGGAATGCGCTCATTAGAAGCGAGTGTCAGAATACGGTTGTCGTCCATCACAGAGTTCATAGACTCGATCCAGTTCGCATCTAGATCACCATCCAGCACAATCCATTTAGGCAGCGTGTCCGGTATTTGTCCCAACGATCGCATTGTTTTTGACAGGATACCGTCTTGCCATTCTCTCGTTGACATCTTAACAAACCTGTGGATAACAATACGAACCGACGCGAGGCTGTACTAAGTGCATTCTGTAGGCAGGTATCTTAGATCCCGAAACTAGCTCGTTTGCTCATGTGCAGCAAACCTCACGGTCGAAGTGCATGAGAATGAAGGATGTGGCATGCGGGGTTGTTAGGTTGACAGTAACGTTTTTTGCTTCCCACATTCTCGCTGGAAAGACCTTCAGACAAAAGCTGGTGAAAAGGGTGAGCTTTGCCTCCACTCTGGTGGGTTTATTCACATAGTGTGAATGCGGGGTACTCGTCTTACCCGTATAGCTCATCTGTGTTTACTGATTTCGGGTTGATGTCGACTACGGTAGTTTTGCTTCCGAGAGCATCTTGAGCCTTTGCAAGCACTTTCCACACTGTGCTTTTCCCAGACGCTGGCCTCCCCATGACGAAGATGCACATTCTAATGGCAAGCAGGTCTCGCATTTGTAAGGCTTTTAACGAGAGAACTTTGTTGACCGTCAAGCCCATGTCACTGCACACCTTGACTACAGTCTCAGAGAAAACAGCATCAGTCTGCGGTGGTGGCTCAACTCCAGGAAATAGGTCGCCCAAAAGTCCTGAACCAAGTGCATATTGTAACGGCATTGCACTTTGCTCTATTGTTCAACAAAGTCTTGGTCTGGTATGTGCTTCAGTGAGGGTGCGTACAATGTTTTACAGTATACCTTGGAAGACTGTTGCGTCATCGGCAACAATTTTAGCCAGATTAGAGTCCCTCAGCGCTTTCATGAGAATTGCCTGCTCAGATAGGTCAGGCCACTGTCTCTTGAAAGTACCAGCTACAACCAATACAGACTTGATCGCCCGCAGCCCCCAATCATAGTGTGCAGCTCTCGATAGCAAATCCTTGCACAAGGCGTAGAGCCGGGTAAACTTCCTCGCGAGCTCCTTTGCTTCAACAAAGCCTTCAGCCATTAGCATGTTTTCACATATTAGCTCCAAGTCCGGAACAATGACTGTTATGGGCCTAAATAATGACTTCAGCCCCTCAGGGAGCTCAGAACGACCTAGATATCCAGGGTTCATCTGCGGAGGCCACACCAACCCAAGTTCAAGCCCACCATGTTTCTGACATATGAAGCACGTGGCTTGTAGCTTTACGCTGTATACAAAAGCTTTTAACTTTGGTTGGATAGTTTTGGGGGACAAGCTGTTTCGTCCGCTTACAGTAATAAACACTCCGCATGTGCGATCGAGGGATGTTTCATCTCCTTGGATAAAAAACGTCTTCGAATGCGCTTTGATAGCATCGACAACTGATTTGAACTGGACCGAGCACACACTGAGTACAGCGGGCACAAGACGGTTAAATTCGTCAAAACATCCCCAGGAACCAGAAGCCGCCAGACCCTGACAACCACATAAAAACGGCAAAACAGATGGGGTAATGCCACTCTACAAAACGCTGCAGCCAAATTCCGGCAGCAGGACTTGGCATTTTGTTCGATCTTTGCGAATATTCTCTCCCACGTTTAGCTGGCGAGTTTTATGTCCTCGTTTCTCATACGGACGGTTCCTGCCTGAACCATAAATCAGCTGACCTTGAAAATGTTCGCCATGGATTGATAATCCATTTGGTCAGAGCAATTAAAGACATAGCATGCCTTGCCAAGAGCAGAGGCAAGGTCTTTGGTTGTTTCTGTTTTCCCGGTTCCTGCTGGACCAGCTGGCGCGCATCCCATGCAGAGGTGCAGTGCCTGGGTTGCAGTCACGTAGATCCTGTCAGTCAAAGGGGTGACTACGAGACGAGGCCCATTGCCGAGATACTCATAACCGTAGCAAAATGATGCATCTGCAATTCTTATGGTGGCCTCTTCCTGCGCAGGTATTAAGCACCTCGTCGCAGCAACGAAAGTTGCGACACTTTGCATGTGAACAGAGTATTTTGAGAGAGTAGGCGAGACGAATGTACGCATAAGCCTGCATTGTGGGGGATGCACGAACCTCATTTAGTTGTGTTGACTAACCGTTTTCACGTCCCAGAAGTACTTAAGCTGCGACTGCCACTGAAAGCAGTCAACGGAGGTAGCGTGTTCGTCCAGGAGCCTCTGAATTATATCCCGGCCATGCGTGTCAATAGTTATGATGCACATAATCTTCTGTCTAAGTTCTGGAGTGAGCGGACCTTGGACAAGCCTAATTGCTGACGTCAGCTCTTCCACGTGCTTTTTCATGCACTGTTGCATAGCCGTAGGATTCTACATCAATCAGTGAATCACAGGCACAAAATTTGGGGGAGTCTGCGTATTAGTCACCCTCTAGCACCTCGGAGATGAGAGCCTTTGAGTCGTCACTGCTGGCTCACCTGCATTTGTGCAAACGCGTTTTCAACATTCATGACCCAAGAAGCCATGTTCACTAATAGTGTTGCCTGAGCAGCTGGATCAGCTTTTATCCAATCGTTCTTTGTTGCTGCTGCCGAGCGACCGGCAAATGACTTTTTCAGGTAATATCGGACCGTCTTGCGCATCATTGCTATGCAATCTTCGAGGTAAGACTCAACCTGTGAAGGCATAACTTAAGTAATATTTTTCTTTTGTCTCCAGTGAGTAGGTGCATTTAGACGCATGGCGCTCAGCAACTCTCGATATTAGAAACAAACAGTTTGGGCTAACCTTGCCTACGAACGTCATTTCCTCAGGAAGAGCTAGCTGCTCGATGCCCACACAGGAAGTAATTCCTGTTGCCACTGGCCGGCTTTTATCTTTATCTGTTGGCTGGGGATCCCTACAGTCGAATTGCTGTATGGCTTGGAAAATTTTTGGCATGTGCACCATGACAGCGGGAGGGTCATTACCGTGAGAGAGGATGTCCAAAAGGTCAACTGATGATACAAAAAAGAAACGAGGAAACGTTTTCCTCTTCGAATCCATGAATTCGTTGAGAGCCTTTTCACACATAGAGAGCTGTTTCTGTAGCTCGTCAAGCTGGGTCGAAATCTCAGGCATGACGCAAAAGTCTTTGATTTTCGAGTAGGTTTCTCCTTGCCGTAAAAGTTCCTTCATCTTGGCGTCTATAGCCACAAAGCGCTCTGCTTCCGCTGGAAGCTCTCGCTTGACTTCTTCCGAGCAAAGGAAGAGATTTTCCAGGAAAGTCCAGGATCTCTCTACTTCTCGCAGGATTTGAGTTATTTCTCCTATTGTTGCCAAGGATTTCTGCCATTTCGTTATCTCGATTTCAAACGTTGCGAAAAACCTGGATTCCGCATACGCATACCTTGAGATCAGTCTAAACCATGTGTCCGAGTTCAACGGCCTTTCCCAATATATCAATGCAAACGCAGCGCGCAGAGCACGTGAAATCTTCAGGTTATTGCTTATTGCAACTAACTGTTTGCTACACAATTAACTTCTTCGAGTTCACTACGGCACCAAACACCCTTCGTCCTGGCGGTAGGAGATGCAAGCTAAAGGGAGTACAAGATGTTCACTACCATTACCATTGGGGAATGGTCGTCAGCATTAAGTTTGAGCCCTTACTTGGAAGACATCATATTCTGAACAATCATTTGCTGCTCTTCTAGCAGCTCGCTGCACTCCTCTGATAGGGACAGCACGTTGACATCAGGCTGCCTCGCAGGTGTCAGCACGAACACAGCTGAATCCCATGTTTTTGTAAGGAGAATCAAGTTTTTTTCGATTGCTTCCTCTTGCTTCGCCTGAAAAATGACGCAGTATGCATTGAGGGATGGATGCCTGATACCTGTTTTACACAACGCCTGAGCTCAGTTCATCGTATACATTAAACGCACAGGACAAATGTGATCCAAGTGCATAGGATCACTGCTACGATGGTGGTTGGGGCGCCGTTCACAGAAAAGCTGTCAACAAAAGCCTTGCGCATGCCTTATCAGTGATTTCTTCGACAGTTGCTTGCAGCGCCAAGAGATCCAAGCTTTCGATTTCACTCAGCTTAGTCTCTGTGGAGATCTCAAGAGAAGCGTGTGCTAGACTAATGAGCTCATTCCAATGACGTTTGCGCATGTAAGGTTCACGGAGCTCCGCTATTAGTGGAGCAAGCTGTATCCAGGTCCTAAGCGTCGCAGCCAATCCCTGGTACGCATCGCTTTTCTTGTCCATCTACAGAAACACCCAAGCTCCCTAGAATAAGTTCGAACCGTTGCAAAGTCGTTTCGTGGTACATTTGGGCTGTGCGACGTGCATACTCGCTTGACAAGGTGGAGCCTAAGCTCTTTGCCTAGCATCAAGCCGTAATGGTTAGCAGATCTGACCTTGACGTCTCTTTGCAGACTCTTTTGCATTGCCTTGAGAGCAATTTCAATTTCGACACCATCGACGTTCTCCCAGAGGAGTTCTCTATACCCCTCAACTTGAAGTAGCATCGATTCCGCAACGTTCCAGAATTTGGCCACGTTGCGCAGTTCCTCTTCGACTGCTGAGAGAGTCTGCCGCGTTCCCTTAAGTAGCTCAGGAAAATCAAACGATGACGCAGGCACTTCTAGAGCCTGAAACGCTTCCACATGGCAGGCTTTCACGCCTCTAGTGGAAGAACCTAAAACCTCTGCAGAGAGTACGCCCTATGGGGACTGGTCTTAGCTTCGCTGCGCTGCTCGTACGTGTTCCGATATTGCCTCATGTCATTGCAAACAGCACCAACACATGGATGTTTTCGTATGTATTCACTATGTACGTAGACACACCTCCAGCGTTCGAACTAATTCGTTGGTTTGCTCCGATATGTCCGTAATCCTTGTTCTGGCATCTGCTGGGGAGGTTGCGAAGGAATAGAAACACTCCCCCGTTAGAGTCTGACGAAGGGCGCACACAGAGGAGTCCAGCTCTTCTATGGCTTTTTTAGTCTTTGCCGCTTCTTCTTCGAACACGTTCGTCATTTCCCTCTCGCGTTTCTCTGCAGCAGCCCTGTGCACAAAAAAGACAACCTCAACTGGAGCAAGTCAAACTCGATAACAGCGTATGATTTGTACAGTTGCAAATGCCTCATTAAAAAGATAAAGAGAAAAATACAATCTACAGGTAAATTTTCGACGGACTCGAGAGCAGCTCTCTTTTCGCATATCTTTTTAAGTGCTCTATTGCTTGAATCAACGTTCGCGCCCAATTCCTGCAGCTTCTGCAGGGCCACCCTTAAGACTTCGAAATCCAGTTCATGTTCAGCTTTCAACAATCCCACGTTTTTGATGTGCTGCCGGACATCTAGAAGGCTGCGACGATCATCCGCTTTAACGGTTGCCTAAATGGTCTCACTCGCACACCTTGAATATTGGATTATGTGTACTGCCGTTGACTGCAGCAGGCAACCCTTGAAAAACACAGTGAAGAAACAATTTGGCAAAAACCTCTGATGGGGATACGTCTGGCTTGAGTTTGACCAAAGCCACTTCACTTAGCATACCTGAAGTCCCAATTCCGTCCGAAGACAAAACTTTTCCAGTGCGTTCATTGTGTTTGCAATAAACGTGGTAACTGTAGGCCCAGCGAATTCATTTGCTCTTGGCCGAGGCTTCTCGACAAATGTGGCAACATAAGGCGATCCCCGTATTTCTTGTGGTGGATTCCCGTCTTGTGCATCGAGTAGAACGCCTACTGACACTCTTCCAGGTGCAGGCGCAGTGTAGGTGACCAAGTATGTTCCATTTTCAAAATCTTTAATGGTTACGGGTAGCAGAACTGGATCTTCCGTTGGCTTTTCTTCAACGTCTTCTTGATCAGAATCCTCTGGCGGCGGCTGTTGTTGCTGGAAACGAGCGCATTCAAGCATTATGCCCTTAAGAATTTGAAGTCAGTGGCACAGCTTGTCGACTACTGTTTCTGTTCATGATGGCAATCGTTTCTGGCAAGCAGAATTGGGGAGGCATTCAGGCTTACCTCAGGGAGTACAAATGCCCTTACAACAAAGTTATCACCTCCGGTGGTCCTTTTCCCATTTTGCGCATTCCTCGCTTCAATAAAGAATGACGTAGGCACACCAGGAGCTCCATCAGAAAGCAACCCGGGCCCCACGGCGAGGCAGTATGATGCGCACGAATTTGCGAAAAACTGAAATGAACAGAGAGAAGAAGTCAAATCTTTGGCTCCAATCTTGACGCGAATTTCGCACGTTCGTGGGCCTGTAGAACAACAAATCAAGAGCCACACACGAGATCCATATGCTGTACATGAAATCCTCCCGAATGAGTTAAGTGTGCTCTGTGGTCGACGTTAACTGAGGACTATGCTCTGCCAATCCCTGTGATACAGAGGGAAACTAGACAGTCTGCAGCTTGCCTAGAAATGCAGGGTTGATTACTGTGCGGACTTTTGTCGGAGGTTTGCTTTTTCAGGCTTAAGTGAGGGAGCTGGCTGAAGTGGTGTTTTGACTCACCCAGGGCGGCCTTAACATTAGGAGTCACAGCGCGAATTTCCGTTGTCGATATAAATGTGCCCGGGACGTCCACGAAGAATTCGCCAGCAGAAAAGCGGACGCAGATTGAACCAGCTGTAAATCCAGCACCCCTAACACTAATTGGTGTACCTCCCGTCATTGGACCATGAGGTGGTGAAACGTCAAGGATAGCGTATGGAGGACCCACGACGGAGGAGACGCAGCATGTCCAAAGATCGCCAAGCCATTTGCCACTCCTGAACGAAATTCGATCAAGATGTCATTTAATGATCTGTCTTATGGATTAGCACCAACCAAGAAATGCATCGTACGGAAGAAGCCCCTGTGTGTGCAAAGAATCTCACCAGCCACCAAACACAACCAAAGTTGAGTCTTCAGCAAAGTATGCCATGGTCGCGCCTTCGCGTGGCAGAGGAAGATCCGCAGCTGCTGTTGCTTGAGGCGATGCATTTGCCGCTGTGCCTTGTGGCCTACGCTTCGCTACGCATGCCTTTTCCGCAGACTCGCGCTGTTCTGCAGCCGCTGTCGCTGCAGATACGGTTTGGACTACGTCCCAGTGGCACTCTTCACCGAGTGTTAAAACCTCTATATCTGAGCAGAGTCGTGTTTGAAACCTTTTGGGATTTTCTAACACTTCGCTGGAAGCTCCTCCATAAATGAAAAATTTTGTTCTCGGTCTAGCATTAACAAGCAGCCCACACATATTCCAACGCGCGCCGCCGCCAGGCCAGGGAGCATCAACTTCACACCTGCACTAGGCAAACAGTCCCGCTGCAACTTAATTTACCCAGTGCCCTAAGCCGCTCAGAATGAAGAGCACTAGTGTTGTAGTGTTAGGGTGTTGACAAACCAGTCGCGGTTTTCCAAATCATAGGCGAATAGGTCGTTGTAATTCCCCTCACTGCTCCACCCTAGGCGCACATGCAGCTCATGGAGCCCACAAACACTCTTCATAGCCTTTCTTAGAGTTGAATCATCAGACAGCCGCTTACTTGTCCAGTGTACTTTGCATTTAGGGAGCCTCACCACCAAAGACAAACATTGTGTTCCCTTTCACGACAGCAGAGTGTCCCTGCCTGCAACGCAGCAAAGAATGCTATGCCGCCGCACGATATACCGGGAAAAACAATCAAAGAAGAACTAATCTACGTCACGGCAATACCTGGTAGCCCGGATCATTCGAGGAGCCTACCGAGCAGCCGGCACAGTGCCTGTGAACGTGTGCTTTTGCCAAACCCAGCTCCCGCAATCCAGTGACCAAACATCTGCTAATGCAGTTCGTTCATATTGGACACCTCCGCATCCGCCAAATACAATTATTTGAAGCTCTTTAGTTGACATGCATTCGCTTTCGGGGAATTCCATCTCCTGTTCAGGCGGGGAGGGTGCCCACAGACACGCGGAATGGCCGCATCGTCCAACTGGTGTCCCCGGAACTGCATGGTAGCAATCTTCAAACAGCATTTCGCTCTCAGGTCGCAGTGAAGCTAGACAGTCAGCGGTCACCTAAAGGTTTTTCCGATGCTTCAGACCCGCTGAAGGCTACTGATACCATGCTATCAAGCAGCTTCGTTGTTTCAGAACATGCAGGGATGCTTCTACCATTGCCCGTTGCTTTGCGGTTACCAGAGGGTTTCTTGTCAACCTGCTCGAGACTTAGAAGCTCTTGCAATGCCACGTGGAATCCTGGCCCTTCAACCTGAAATGGAGCAGCAAGGCACCACTTGTTCGCGTTTGACTTGGCAGCTGAGGCGATCTCCTCAGGAGCCCTCACATATATGCTTACGCTCAAGCAAACAGAACAGACAGCCCTTGCCACCATGGATAAGCGCTTAAAAATCAAATTAGCCCTCCGTCGACAACTTAGGCTGAATCGATGTGTGTGCTGTGTTTACCTTGTCCAGCGTGTTAGCAATAGCCGCAACAGCCGCTTCGCTGGAGACGCACCAGCACAGCACAAAAAAGGAAGACATGGCAACCAGCACTAGGTTGATACCTGGTTGCCTTTCGAATTTTTTGCAGAGCTTACGCGGCTTGATCAGTCTCCCAGCCCCTGAGAGACGCACATAGAACAAGGGAAAGTAAGCCTATTAGACGCCCCTGCGACGCAGCTAAAAAGTGACTCTTCAGTGTTCCCACATTGCAGGCTTATTAGAAACTGCAGGTTTCGAAGATGCGACCGTTCTTCGGTAAGAATGCAGAATTAAGCGGGAATATGTGAGCTAATGAGTTAGAGAAAAGGGCCACAAATCAGCGGGTACCTTTTCTTCGTGGCTCACATCTGGCTTGTTGCTTCGTTGCCTCCCTGAGAGGGAGTATTGCAAAACAGAGATGTGCAGCCGCGTCATAATGCTAGCCACCCGGCCACGCAGTTCCGAGCAAAGTCACACAAAACACTTCTGATGCGACTATGGGTAGGTGCTAATTGCCACAGCAGCAAGCAACATGGCAAGGGTAAGCTTGCCTCTGCTGTGTCCGTAACATCTCCATCAGCCGCAGAGAATGTAACTGCTGAGAAGCTCCCATTCTCTGCAAAGAAGAGCAGATCTGCGTGCAGTATTGCTAGTAGCAGTTCTTATTCGTCATTACTGCGCGCCATTCTGGCAGCCGGCACCGGTAACAGGTTGCCTTACACCGGCAGCACGTTCCCTTACATTGATGACTCTGGTGCCACACTTAGGCATCATTTAACAGTCAGCTCACCAACATGTAAAATCCAAGCTTCACTGGAACAGACAAATGGTCTGTAGCTGAGACAGCCACCCAAAATGAAAAGTCGCGACCCGCCAATATAAGTAGCAGTGTGGAAGCAGCGGCCTCGGGGCTGCAGGTTCCCAGTTGGCTGAATTCTGCACCATGAGGGCCTCGCTGAAAGAGTGCAAAATGTAGACTAAAAGAAGCATTCTTCAGATGCGAAGCTTTTTTATGTCCTAACGCAAGCAGCTGCTGCTGTCTGAGCCTGCTTTTTTGACGCATGTTGTGCGGGGAATTGCAGTAGCACTAGACCGTTAGTACTTCGGGATTAAAGAGTTCTATTAAGAAGCTGACGTGGGTTCGGCGCTTCTGACACAAGAGTCAAAACGTAGGCGTCATCTTTAGGGGTCGTAGTCGGACTCTCGGACTCTGCAGGCCCAATTCCCCCGTAAACAACAAAACAACCGCTGCACGCCGTAAGTGAATGGCCCCAGCGAGGAGTCGGAGCCCCTTCTGCTGTCAAGCGGTGCCATGCGCACCCACGCGGCTGCACGCAGCGGTCGACAGATCTATCTGCGGTGAATGTTACGATGCTTCGAACGCCCGCCGCTCTCACTCAGCTGTTCTGAAGCTTCGGCATTGTGAGTTTGCAGCGGCGAATTTGGCGCATTCTTGGCTCTCTTTAATTACGCTTTTCCCGCAAAGATGATGGATACTGGGGCGTTTTATTCTAAAGCTACTCTGCAGAGACTGGCCATTGAATTCATACAGCGGGGTGCTTTGCTCAGTAGAATAAGTGCAGCACACTGAGCTGGCTAGCAGGTATGTGAAAAAATCATGCTGCTTTTACTGAGCTGTCTGCCGCGAGGCGTTTCGCTACAGAATCAAAACGTGTCCCACCATTTTCGCTACGGGAGATTTAGGCGCGGCAGGTCTAGAAGGTTCTCTTTTCAGCCCAACAATGGCGAAATACACTGATTATCCCGTATAAAAGGCTAGCCGAGCATTATCAAAGGCGTTAAGACACTGATCAGGCAGCCATGACAGCTAGCCCTCCCCTAGGAGTGACCTTGGCGTCACGCAAAATATCTTCTTCACGTTTTTCCTCGGTAGCAAGCGGAAACAAAGACATAGCAGCTGAGATGGCCTCACATTAGTAAATCATAAGACTGCTGCTCATCTCGGTGCTGTAACATATCAAGTGTCAGCACATTCAGCTCGTGTCAGTCCCACACCGCCGTCAGCCCCAGACTGGGATCCACTCATTCGGTTCAGGCAATAATAAGCCAAAAAGAGCCAAGATGCATTGAGAATGAACATTGAAAGCAGCAAATAGCACTTTCTGACACACAGGTATGCCGTCCAGTGGTTGCCAGGACTAAACAACTTCGTACAGAAGCGCACCGTTAGTCCTGTGCCTCCGACACGTTATACTTGGTAATTGCTCTGGTCTCCCACGAATTTCACCCAAAAGATACAAACAGGCTACGCAAAAGTGGGGAAAATCCCAGATCCAGCGTATCACGTTTCTTATTTTCCGTAGACTGTCCTTGTCATGGAGTAGCTGCTGTGGTGATCCCAACGTAACCTCGACAAAGACCCCAGCAGCACATATGTAGATGTTTCGATACCTTCAGCAATAAAAAAAGTCCTTATGGCTTTAGCGCTCATGTCACAGCCTGGCAAACATATCGCAGTTGGGTATGGCGGGAAAGGTCAAGGGTCCTGGTGACCTGTTGCAGGCGTGGAATACAGTGAATCTCCACAACAGAGAAAGTATCGCCCGAATTGAAAGTGTGCTCAACACTTTACCATGACAGGAAGAGCCCGAATCTGCCTTCTGGTCCTACGAAAGGTTAAGGTCCTCACGGATCCTCCCCGAGAAGTAAATGAGAAAAAGGAACAGAAGCCACAAGCATAGCATTAAAAGGCAGTTAAAATTGCTCAAAGTAGGTTAATACCGAGAATGAGAGCTAATCACACGATATCTCATCAAAATACGCGCAAGAAGCAGTGCCGTCCCCTGTGCGCAAACTAGTGCCATGAGCGCAACGGTGGAACCTACGTCATGGTTAAAGAGCGAATCACAAGGACCCGAAAAGAAAAATGAATAGAAACAAGGCTTACAAGAAACGTATGCTCTCTAAAAGGATTGTATCTTGAGGAGCCCTGTCCCGTATACTAGGGCAGTATGGACGAGAGGTTTGACACATGCTGTAAAGAGAGGCAACAGGAGATCAATTAATTACATGGGCACTTTTTTAAAGAATATCTGCACTTCCGAACGTGCAGTATGCTGTGCGCTGTGTGCGTTGGAGGAAAAGTTTAGAAGTCAGCGGAGCTCGCTCCTCCCAGCAGACGTCATTGAGCACCCTCCACCTACTTTCTTTGCACTTTCGGGGTCTAGTTCGTATGCGCTTTCAAATGTGAAGATTTTTCTGATGCGCCGCCTGCTTACATAACGCATTTCGACCTCCTTCAGGGATCATCGCGTGACACACTATTTGTCATCATTGTCCTTTTCTTTTCATTTTGATCTAGCCCTCGCTATACTCAAACGAATAAATGGCATGCGTTTCTTGGTATGATACCATTTAGGTAGGTTCGAGACATATTCTGTGAGTTTTACTCCGGTGGTCCTGTTGAACACGAAACCAGCAGCAGGCCGGCTCTCATCCTCTAGATTACCTCGATGAGGACGCGATAATAATATTCAATGCTGGAAAAGGCATTTTCATTGCTCCGTGCAGCATAATATTTTAAGAACCGTATTCATAATCACATAAACTGTGTTCATGTATGAGGGCGAACTGCGGAACGCCGTAATTTGGGCTGTGCTGCTGGTTGTTACAGCATAACAGCTGAGCTCAAATCATGCTAAAGAGAGAATATTCAGTAATTTTATATGGCATTAGAGGGGTTCTACGAGCAAGAGTTGCTGCACTGGAGCTACAGTCATTGTTCAGTATGTACCAGGGGCGCGTTGCGTCCAACGCCGTGAGATCGGGC